ACATGTAGGAATTTATTAAGTTCTTATTAAAATTTGATGCTTGTCAAAGCTGTCTTCTGAATCCATATAATAGCATAAGTGTTGGAAAATCTGAAAAATTGTCATCTTGAAGATACCCCTTTGTATGCATGATTTAGTAGAAAACAGTTGATCATGAGTTTAAATCTATTATCAGTTTCATACATGAATTTGCCAAATTCTTTCTAAGTCTGGCAATATGGACATTAAAGTACTCTGAATTTGTTTATCAGCTAATTGGGAATTTTAATTGTTGCTATGTCTGCCCTAGTGAGTCCTTATAGGAATCAGGTTTAGTAATGTGTGAGTAAATGCCCATAAATAGTTAAATGAATGAATGCTGGGTAGACATTTTGGTAATACGTATACTTTGTACTGTGTCATTTTCTATAAGGTACTTGAGCATCTGCAGACTTTGGTATCCAGGGGCGCCTCTGAAACCAATCCCCCATGGATACAGAGGGATGACTGTATTATCACAAAATACATTTAATAGTGTATCATTGGTGGTTATATAGGTTGTATTTATAAACTTCTTACTACCCCCAGTCTAAGAATGTTATGTCCACATTTCTGTGTTAATCCCAACTGCCTGATTATAATATATATTAGAAGGAATAGCCACAGAGGATTCAGTAGAGATGGTATAATGCTATCTAAAAAGCCAGAGTTCTGATGTTAAAGTTTCCAAAAATTTATAATCCATGATCACTTAGTCCAAGACAAAATCTATTATATAATGGGAAATTTTATACATGTTGCTGTTGTTTGATTCTTTCCAAACTTGTTTAAAATACAAATTTTGAGTTATGCTTTATTGGTGATTTCTTTTTCAGGAAAGATCTTCCTACTTGGAATACCAAAAAGTTATGAGGGAAATAGAACACTTGAGTCGTTTACATATTGCTTATCAGTTTTTGCTGGCTGAAGATACCAAAGAACGCTCAACTGAGGAGTTAAAAGAAATGCAGGATAAAATTGTTAAGCTCCAAGAGGAATTGTCTGACAATGATAAAAAAATAAAAACACTTAGCCATGAAATAGAAGAGTTGGAAAAAAGAAAAGATAAGGTCAGGCATATGTGTTAGAATAGATGATATACTCTGTGAAGAAAAATATTACATTGTATACAATAACGGGTTCAGTGGGCATTGTCTTGCATATTGATTTGTTAATCTTAAAGTATGACAATAAAATAGCCTATAAAAATAATTCATAGAAATCATACAAGAAATTGACAACGTGAACTGATTTTAAGTATACCGATTGAATTGAGCACATTTGATTATAGGAAACTGGAGGTGTACTCCGATCCTTAGAAGATGCTCTTGCAGAAGCTCAGAGAGTTAATACTAAATCTCAAAGCGCCTTTGATCTCAAGAAGAAAAATCTGACAAGTGAAGAGAACAAACGCAAAGAGCTGGAAAAAAATATGATTGAGGTAAGCAAATAAGCTTACTTAATTTCACTACTATACATTTATCCTATTCTGTTCATATTTATTGAGTGCCCGCTACGGACCATGTGTAGTTGTTTGGGCTGTGTATATACCAAAGGACAAAATGACAAAAGGACAAAATGCTTTGTGGGTCTTCGGTCCAATGAGGGAAATAATAAAGGAAAAAAAATAAATATAAAGCAGGTTATATGATGATGACTGATGTGGAGAAAAAAATAAAGCAGGAGAGAAGATGAGTATAGGAGAGAGGAGAGCAAATTGAGCTTTTAAAATAGGTAGCCATTGAAGCTTTCATTGAGGGTGATATTTCGTTAAAGACCCAAAGGAGGTCAGAGAACCATGACGATAAATTGGGAGGCTATGGGGGAAGGTGGTCCAAGCAAGAGAACAGGAATTGCCCCAGTGCCAAAAGTTTTGGAAAAGCAAGGACATGAGTGTAGTTGGTTAGCAGTAAGCATATAGTAGGAATGCGGAAAGGTCATAGAATATAGGGTCGCATGTGGTTTTACAAGACCGTGTGAAGGATTTTGACCTTTCCTCCAAGTGGCATGGGAAGCTACTGGAGTTGGTTGAGCAGAAGCTTGAGATTTTTTATGTTTTAATAGGACTGTTCTTGTTTGTTCGTTTGTTTTGTTTAATTTTTAATTACAAATTACATACAATGTTATATTCATTTCAGGTGTATAGCATAGTGATTAGACATTTATATAACTTATGAAGTGCTCCCCCATAAGTCTAGTACCCATCTGACACCGTAGATAGTTACTTAGATTGACTATTCCCTATGCTGTTCTTTACACTCCCATCTTTACACTATTTTTATAACTGTCAGCTTGTACCACTTAATCCCTTCCCTTTTTTCACCTATCCCAAACTCCTCTCCCACCTAACAACCATGAATTTGTTCTCTGTATAAGTTTGTTTTTGTTTTGTTTCATTTGTTTTTTGGATTCCACATATAAGTGAGATATGGTATTTGTCTTTTTCTGTCTGACTTATTTCACTTAGCATAATATCTTCTAGGTCCATCCATATTGTTGCAAATGGCAAAATTTCATTCTTTTTTATACCTGAGTAATACTCCATTATATGTATGTACCGCCTCTTATTTATTCATCTATTGATGGACACTTAGTTTGCTTCCATATATTGGCTATTGCAAATAATGCTGCATTGAACATAGGGATGCATATCTTTTCAAATTAGTGTTTTGGGTTTTTTCGGATAAATATCCAGAAGTAGAATTGCTGGCTCATGTGGTAGTTGTAGTTTTAATATTTTGAAACCTCAATACTGTTTTCCATAGTGGCTGCACCAATTTACAGTCCTGCCAAAACTGCACAAGGGTTCCCTTTTCTCCACATCCTCACCAATGCTTGTTTATTTATTGATTGATGATAGCCATTCTAACAGATATGAGATGATAACTCATTGTGGTTTTTATTTGCATTTCTCTGATGATTAGTGATGTTGAGCATCTTTTCATATGTCCATTGGCCATTTGTATGTCCTCTTTGGAGAAATGTCTTTTCAGATCCTCTGCCCCATTTTTAAATCGGATTGTTTGGGGTTTTTTGGTGTTAAGTTGTATGAGTTCTTTATATATTTTGGATGTTGATCCCTATTGGATGTATTATTGGCGAATATCTTCTCTTACTCAGTAAGTTGTCCTTTTGTTCTGTTGTTTTTCTTTGCTGTGCAAAAACTTTTGTTTGATTTAGTCCCATTTGTTATTTCTTTTGTTTCCCTTGCCAAAGGAGACATCCAAAAAAATACTGCTAAGAACAATGTCAGAGTTTACTGCCCATGTTTCCTTCTAGGAGTTTTATGGTTTTGGGTCTTACGTTTAGGTCTTGAATCCATTTTGAGTTTATTCTTGTATATGGTGTAAGGAAAGTAGTCTAGTTCTTTTGTTTTTGCATTTATCTGTCCAGTTTTCCCAGCACCATTTATTGAAGAGACTGTCTTTACCCCATTGCATATTCTTGCCTCCTTTTTCATAGATTAGTTGACCATATACGTGTGGGTTTATTTCTGTGCTCTCTGTTCTGTTTCATTGCTCTATGTGTCTCTTTTTATACCAGTTCCATGATGTTTTGATTCTTATCGCCTTGTAGTATACCGGGGGTGCCAAAAAAAAATGTATACAAGTGGACACTTTGGTCAACGCTGCTCAAGCAGTAGTTCGCTGTAATCAGAAGTGTCTGGATGCTGATGGTAAACACTCTGAGCACCTGTTGTAATTGTAGAAGTCAAATGTGATGTCTATTCATCTTTTGTTATTGGTATATATTGAGTATTACAATTGTAATACAGTTTCCCCTTAAAATGTGTATACATTTTTTTGGCACCCTCTTTAGGTGGATATCAGGTAGCATGATGCCTCCACCTTTGTTATTCTTCCTCAAGATTGCCTTGGCTATTCATTGTCTTTTGTGGTTCCACATAAATTTTAAGATTATTTGTTCTAGTTCTATGAAAAATGCCATCGGTATTTGGTAGCAATTGCATTGAATCTGCAGATTGCTTTGGGTCGTACGGACATTTTTAACGATGTTAATTGTTCCTATCCATGAGCATAGTATATATCCTTCCATTTATTTGTATCTTCGATTTCTTTCTTCAGTGTGTCATGGTTTTCTAAGTACACCTCTTTTACCTCCTTGGTTAAATTTATTTCTAGCTTTTCTGTTTTGTTTTGTTTTTATGAAGCAATTGTAAATGGAATTGTGTTCTTAATTTCTCTTTTTGATAGTTCATTATAGGTGTATAAAATGCAACCAATTTCTGAATACTAATTTTGTATCCTGCCACTTTACTGAATTCATTATCAGTTCTAATCATTTTTTGGTGGAATCTTTAGAGTTTTCTGTAGTATGTCATCTGCAAATAATGACAGTTTTATTTCCAGTTTTGGTGCCTTTTATTTCTTTTTCTTGACTAGTTGCTCTGGCTAGGACTTCTAGTACTTTGTTGAATAAAAGTGGTGAGAATAAGTAAGCACTCTTGTCTTCTCCCTGATTTTTGAAGAAAAGCTTTCAGCTTTTCACCATTATGTTAGTTGTATGTTTGTCATATATGTGGCCTTTATTGTGTTGAGGTATATTCCCTATGTCCCTACTTTTCTGAGAGTTTTTATCATAAATGGATATTGGATTACATGAAATGCTTTTGCTGTATTTATTGATATAATTTTGTGATTTTTATCCTTTGTTTTTTTTATGTGATGAATCACATAAATTGATTTGTGGATGTTGAAACAACCTTGCATCCAGCATGCAGGAATAAATCCCACTTAATCATGGTGTATGATCTTTTTAATGTATTGGTGACTTCAGTTTACTGATATTTTACTGTGGATTTCTGCATTTGTATTCATCAGGATATTGGCCTATTTTTGTTGTTGTTGTTGTTGTATCTTTTTCTGGTTTTGGTATCGGTAATGCTGGTCCCATGAAATGAGTTTGGAAGCCTTCCCTCCTCAGTTTTTTGGAATAGTTTGAGAAGGATGGGTATTGATTCTTCTTTGAATGTTTGGTAAAATTATCCTGTGAAACCATCTGGTCCAGGACTTTTGTTTTTTGTAAGTTTTTAATTACTGATTCTATTTCATTAGTAGTTATCAGCCTGTTCAGAACTTCTGTTTCTTCCAGATTTAAACTTGAAAGATTGTTTCTGAGAGTTTACCCGTTTTTTCCAGGGTGTCTGATTTGCTGACATATAATTGTGACATTTCCTTATAATCCTTTGTGTTTCTGTGGCGTCAGTTGGGACATGTTTCTTTGTCTCCTTATTTTGGCTGCCTCCCTGTGTTTGTGTGTATTAGATAGATGTGCTGTGTCTCCCAGCCTTGGCAGAGTGGCTGTATGGATTGGGTGTCCTATGGGACACAGTGGCTGATCACCTGAGCTGAGTGCTGCAGGGGTATCCTTTGTGTGAGTTGTTGTGCACTCCTATTGTAGTTCAGCCTTGATTGCTATTGGCATGTCGGTGGGTGGGATTGACCCTCAGGCTGACTATCTGTGAGGACTGGCCATGATCACACCAGACAAGCTGTTGTGTAGGATAGGGGCTGACCCCACAGAGTTGGAGTCACTTTTAGCAGGGCTCTAATGCCAGGTGAGTCCGCCCTTTGGGTGTGTTGTTTGTGGCGCTGGTTGGGTGGTACTCTGATATGGTCTGAAGCCAGCCATCAGGTGTTCTGGTTCTGGAGCCTCTTGGGAGGGGCTCCGATGCTGGTCAAGGTCAGGCACTGCTTGTGCCTGTCTTGGGGCCATTTGGTGGGAGCTGCAAAGTGATCTGCGGTTGGTTGCTATTTGTGCTGGGTTTGTATGCACGTATGAGAGGCTATTCTGTGAACTTTGACTGGCTTCTACTAGTATCTGGTTTGAGAACCTTTAGTGGGCACCACGATGTGAGCTGAGGCCAGCTGCCATTTGTGCCGGGTTTGTGGTCATTTAGTTGAGTCTATGTTCCCAGCCAAGACTAGCTACTGCTTATGCAGGCTTGGGGCTACCTGATGGAAGTTACACTGCAAGTTGAGACCGGTCACTGCTTCTGCAAGGGTTGGGGTAGCTAAGCAAGAGGTGAAGGACACAATGAGGCTTGTTTGGAGTTTGTGGACCTCTGAGAGATTTTAGAAAAGTCCACAGCACAAGTCTAGGTGGGCTGCTTTTATTGAGGAGACACGGGAAGAGGTTCTGTGAGGCAGGCGTGTTGGGTGGGGTGGGGTCTCAGAGAATCACCAGGGAAGAGAAAATGAAGAGCTCAGAATTGGTACCCTCCTGCACTGGGCCAGCTGGATGGAGGGAGGACTCCACAAAAGAACAATGGTGCCTGCCAGCACTTGCATCTCAGAGGGAGCTGTCAGAACCTCTGCCCTTCCCGCCCTCATCCTGAAAGTAGTCAGTTTAGTTCTCCCTGTGTGTCCCTGGTGCTTTCGAGCTGCTGCCTATGCGCTGAAGCTCAGAGTGAGTGAGTTTGTAAGCGAGTGTGTGCAGGCCTTTTAAGACCTGCAGTGCCTAGGTCTCCAGCACCGCTCCATTTCACTTGGATGCTGTCCCTCCTGGTTTTCACATCCAGAGTTATGGGGAGTCCTCTTTCTGGCACTGGAGCTGTGGTCCGGGGAACATGGTTAGGGCTGGGACCCCTTCCTCCTCAGGGGGACTTCCACAGGCGAGATATGCCCCCCAGTTCTTAATCGCCACACCATGGACGTGGCACCTGCCTGTTCCATGTCTCCACCCCTCCTACTGGCCTCAACATGGCTTCTTCTTCATATCCAAATACTGAATCCAGGTTAGAAATACAAATCAAAATACAAAATTGGCATGCCCCAAAGCTGGTGCTCAGACTTCCATATACATTCATTTCTTAGGTGATCCCATTCAGTCCTATAGCCCTAAATGCTATCTATATGTTGTTGCCTTTCAAATCTATAATTAGCCTTGACTCCTTCCTTCTGTGAATTCTAGACTCATTTGTCTAGCAACTTAACATTTTTATATCAATGACTAACAAGGTCTAAAACTTATTAATAACATATCCAAGATAGAACTTTTAAATTTTCCCCACCTACCCAAATCTGCCTGAATTACTGAATTTTCTCAGGTCAGTAAAGGGTACCAGTGTTAACCTAATTGTTCTGTCCAGAAATCCTAGAGTCCTCCTGGAGTACTCCCCCTGTTCTCTCAAATCCCACATCTAAATCCAACAGCAAATTCTGTTGACTTTAAAAATGTATGCAGAACATAGCCACCTGCAGCCCTGCTAACCTGGCTGCATGCCTTCCCCTCCCATGAGGCAGACTGCAGAGTGCTTATTAGTTGCGCTGCTTTTACTCTTGCCACTACAGTCTGTTCTTTACAGAAGCTAAAAAACAAACTGGATCACATCACTCTTGTGCTTATAATCCTTAAATTGTTTCAAAGTGACATGTATAATTACATTCAAAGTCTTTACCATGGCTTACAAGACCCTCCATGATATGACCCCTGGCTCCTCACCAGTTGCACACTGCTCCAACCACAGTTCCTCAGGCATATTCCTTAGAGCTTGCCAGGTATACTGTCCCTCCAGTATTAGCACAGTCACTCCTTTTATTTCATTTAGTTTTCTACTCAAAATGTTATCACAAAAAGACTCACTCATCATTCTTAAAACAGTAGTCTACATCACTTTCCACCCTTTACCTTTATTTGCTTACTATGTTTTCACCCAAAAATAGACTCACTGAAGCACCTGTATCTTTAATGTCTAGAACAATGCCCAGTACATAGTAAGCATCTAATATTTAATGAATCATGAATTAAAGAAGTGGGCCACAATTTGTGGTCACATTTACGTAAACAATATAGCTAGGTTGTTTGTGTTTTTTAGTGCTGGTAGCTTGCATAGTGCTAGATAGCTGGTTAATGTAACTTCAAAGGTGTTAAGTAATGCTATCCACACAATTACTTAATTACTTAAATTTTGTGGCCCTTAAACAGTTTATAAAAATATTTTCATATACATGCTCTTAATTCTAAAATCTCTACTTTTAAACATGGTGTAAGATGGCTATTTCAGTTTTTTAGATTTAAAAATTGACTCGTAGTTTCTTAAAGTGGTTTGTTTAAATTTGCAATGATGTTTATATCTCACAGATTCAACTATAACATGAAAGTATTTCTAATAGGTTAAGAGCCACATTTATCCTAAAAACAGAGAGCAAATTTCAAAATGGGAATAAAATTATGATGATTCAGTTATTTTTCTTCTTACCATACCCACTTCAAATTGCTATAAAAATTGATGATGTAAGTTTATATGTGTATAAGAAAATGGATGTTTTTCCTACAATTTAATACTTGCCAATCTGAAACTCTTACTTCCTAAAGGATTCTAAAACTCTAGCAGCAAAGGAAAAAGAAGTTAAAAAAATTGCAGATGGGCTGAACACCCTTCAGGAAGCAAGTCATAAAGATGCCGAAGCTTTGGCTGCTGCACAGCAGCACTTCAATGCTGTTTCTGCCGGCCTGTCCAGTAATGAAGATGGAGCAGAAGAAACTCTTGCTGGTCAAATGATGGCCTGTAAAAATGACATAAGTAAAGCTCAGACAGAAGCCAAACAGGTAAATGTAGACATTAAGCACTATGTGACAGCTGGTTTTTTTGAGAAGCTGCTTCACATTTATGCTTTGGCAATTGTTATAAAATGTTAAAAATAATCAAATCAACAAGGAACTTGTTTAATGTATTCTGCCACTCTGTAGCATCTAATACAATGAAATTCAAATATATTGATTGCTAAATATTGATGATGTTTTAAGATGCCTGTAAACAAAATACCTTTATAGGTTAATTGAAATCATAAGTGCAATAAATGCTTTATTCTGTTTGTAGCACTAGATGGGATATATTGACGTTAGTCAATGTATTTATCCTTTTGCTGATTTTTTGACATCATAAAGTTGAAGTCCTAGGCTTTAACAGGAATACAAAAACGTCCTCTTCATTTCTAGGCTCACCACACCTAGTTCTTAAAGTTTTGTTTCTGAATCTTGACAACATACTCCTTGGAAGTATGTCTACCTCCCATTTACCCCCATTCCACGCTTTGGTTTCCTTACTCTGATTTCACGCTCTTCAGAAGCGTGTCAGTTTACTGTCATGGTTTTCAAATTTGTTTAGATAGTTGTGCAATTTAAAGTTATGTGAATGAGAAACAGTTTTGATCGCAGAAAGAAAAAATGTATATACATACACATTCTTTTAGTCTTTTTTAAATGGAAGAGTCATCTTTAAAAATATGTGTGTTTGTGTATTAATCCCATTCAAGGTTTTCTGATACATCTTTGCAGCTTTTTCATTAGAAGATGATGGTCACAAAAAGTTTGTAAGAAATGAATAGGAAAAAAACTTTGAAGCCCTCTCAGGTTTTGTGTAACCTTATTTTGTATAGGGGAAAGTCCACCATTATTAAGTTTTAGAGGGAGGATACACCCATATACAAGCAGATCTTAGAATACTAGTTCATGGTTTTAAGGAATAGCGCTCAATTATATATAAACTAGCATTTAAATATCAGACTCCTAGCATGTAAATTTCTGTCAGTTTAGCTTCCCTTTCATATATGCTATTTTTCATTGCTTAATACAGCTTCTCTACTGTTAGACAACACTCACAAACATACACAAATACAACCTAAGTGGAAAGGAAGAGAGCTGGAGTTGGGATTTGTAGCATTCTATTGTGTTTTTATTTTTACCAGCTAATGACAGTTATTCTTTGATATAATTTTTTAACTCATTAATGTCAGATTTTATAAAAAGATGGACTTAAATTATAAATTATTTAATGATTTATGTTAAGCATATATTAGTTATACTCAAGTAGTTTTTCGAAGAAAAAATATTGGGAAATGATTTGTTGAGATGTTAATCCAAGTAACCATTTAGGTTTTCAAGGCTGATTTCTCTCAAACCAATCTGAATCTGGCATTTAATCACTAGCACTATCTGCCGCATATAGTCTGTTACATTTTTCTACTATAGGCTCAGATGAAATTGAAACATGCCCAACAAGAATTAAAGACTAAAAAAGCTGAAGTTAAGAACATGGATAGTGGCTACAGGAAGGATCAAGAAGCTCTAGAGGCTGTGAAGAAACTTAAAGAAAAACTTGAAGCCGAAATGAAAAAGCTAAATTATGAAGGTTTGTTTTAAAAGACATATTAAATCATTAGGAGATTGTGATTGTTGACAGAAAACTAACTTAAAGTGAATAACAAGTAAAAAAATCTTTTAGCCTACTAATGAGTATTAGCATAAAAATGTTTGTAAATATTTCATAAAAATATCTAAGTATAAAACAGCACTTTGAATTTTTAAAAACTCACTACTGAGAATTTCCTGCTTCAGTCACTATAAAGTGCCACATGAAAACTCAAAAATTTTATTTGTATATTTCGACGTTAGTAGGCATTCAAGTCATCTGTTTATTAGAATGAATGTGTATTTTTTGCTGGAAATAATGTCTATTTGACACTTGATAGAAATTTGAATGTTAAGCATGCTTTTTATTTAATGCTTATCAGAAATTTGTATTTTGATTCTAGAAATACTTTGGAAATAGAGGTTATGAATATTTTCCTTAAAACAGTAGAATATTCAATTTTTAAAACTTGGTTTCAATTTACTTATGATTTTCTTTTCAGAAAACAAGGAGGAAAGGCTTTTGGAAAAGCGAAGGCAGCTATCTCGTGATATCAGTAGATTGAAAGAAACATATGAAGCTCTCCTGGCCAGGTTTCCCAACCTTCAATTTGCCTACAGGTAGGAGATTTAAATCTTGAATTTTAACATAGTAATAACCAAGGTATATATATATAATTTAAGCTGGAAGGCAACCTGAATGTTTCATGGACATTAAGATTTTCATATGAAAATTATTGTAAGCTGCCTTACCTTAAACACTATTTTTTTCCTTAAATGTTTATTGATATGTTTAAAATGTTGGCAGGGGGAATTCTTGTGAAATTTACTGGCTGCCCATTTGACTAATCTTCAATTCCCCTCATTTTGGTCTTCATTCCAGTCCAAAGTTTCTTTAAAGTTATTGTATCATTAATGTTAAATATCTACATTAACATTTTACAATCTTTTTTATTATGTGGTTTTTTTTCATGGAATACTTACGGTAATATATGCACTACAAAGATTAGAAAGTCACAAAGTCCTTTTTGTTGCATTGAAAATAATATATATATACTGAAAGATCTTTCAATTGATTTACAAACAATAGCTGGCTAGTCATCTGGGCATTTTAAAATTTTGGATTTGTTAAAACTATATGATTTTGCTTTCAATTTAATGTGTTGTCTGAACTCTTGAGTAGTAATATACAAACAACTTTTTATTTTCTTATCTAAGATTAATTTTTGTCATCTTTTCCATTTCAGGGATCCAGAGAAGAACTGGAATAGAAATTGTGTGAAAGGACTTGTAGCTTCTTTGATTAGTGTGAAAGACACTTCTGCAACCACAGCTTTAGAATTGGTAGCTGGAGAACGACTCTACAATGTTGTAGTAGACACAGAGGTAAATTGATTTTAATAAAGGCAATTTATGATTGCTGTTCAGCCTGAAAAGTCATCTGCTGCTAGAATTCAGTACTTTCTTGATGTTTTAAGCCTCTCATATGGTTGCTTATCTGTACAGGGTAAAACTATTCTTAATGACTTTTTTACTATAGTATTGATTATATTTGATTAGCTGTATTCCAGAGGAAGTCTCATGCTTACTTAGGAATCTAGAGTGCATATTATCAATCTTAGACTTTGATTATTCAGGATAGCAGGCACTAAACATTTATTTGATTATGGATTCCTAAATGTGTACTCTTTCCATCCATTTGAATGTTTTCTGTCATCATTACTAATATGTATTGTTTTATTTCAAATGCACAATTTTTTAGGTTACTGGAAAAAAGCTACTACAAAAGGGGGAACTGAAGCGTCGATACACTATAATCCCACTCAATAAAATTTCTGCCACATGTATTGCTCCAGAAACTCTGAGGATTGCTCAGAACCTTGTAAGTCTTATTTAAATGTTTTAGCTGCATCTTAACTTTTTTTTTTTTAATTAGAGGACATACTCATACGCAGAGCTGTAAAATTTTATTGATATCATACTTTAAAAAATTAAGATACAAAAAGTAGAGTTGGTGTTTGTGAATAGATGGAAATAGAATAGAAATGTTGGAAGGCTAAAACTTAAAACTGCCTTTGAAATTTCAATGTTTTAGTATTAGAATCTCTTTAAACATTAAGTCAAGTCGCATGACTAACAGGTGGTAATACAATCACTCACCCCATAAAGACATTTTAGTTAACAAAGGACCTTATATAAGGCCGTGGTCCTATAAGATGATAATAGGGCTGAAAAATTCTTATGGCCTAGTGAAGTCCTAGCCTTAGTAACGTTATAGCGTGACACATTACACACATACCATTGTGTTACAGTTGCCTACAATATTCCATACAGTTGTATGCTGTACAGGTTTGTAGCCTAGAAGCTGTAGGGAAGCAGAACTTGTCACCCTAAAATGTATCTGTTTGGCATAAGAATTATTTTAGGCCGGGAGAAACTCCGCAAACCAAGTAGATGCAATCCTTTGTAAAAGACATTTACATTTCTAATGGAAATCTCTGTTTGTAAGGGTGTCTCCCTCTACATCAGGAAGAATAGTTAACCTTATCTTTAGAAACTCGAATCTACAAAAGACAAGGACTTAAATCTGGAAAGCAACCTTACCCTTGTTTACTGTACTTTTTGTGGTAACCTGCCATAGCTGACTTCCCTCACCCAGCACCTTCTTTTGTCTTTCACTGAAGATGGTACTTAAAGTGGAGGCTTCAGCCATTTTGAGGAGTTACTCTATTCTCACATGTATACAGGAGGTTTTTAAACTCTGGTTTTTCTCCTGTTATTTTATTGCAGGGATATCTAAGCCAAGAACCCAGAAGGGAAAAGGGGAAAATGATTTTTCCTCCCCTACAGATCTATAGGCTATACCATCTAACCTAGGTGTGTAGTAGGCTATACCATCTACATTTTGCATGTACACCCTAATATGTTCACATGACAGAATCAACTAGTGATACATTTCACAGATCATATCCCTGTCATTAAGTTGCACTTGACTGGATTAAATTTCTAATTTCTGAGTAATTAGAATTACAGAGTTTATAAATACCAGAATTCTTCAGTTTTTTTCATGCCAGGCACACTTAAACTTCCCACAGCAGGAACCATTATGGAAGGCATCCATCAGACTTGCAGAAATGCTTCTCTATTAGAGTTCTTCTAGATTGCCTTCTAGCCTGTGGACATACGAGGCAGGCGACTGATACCCAGTCAGCTGCTCAGGTGGATCTGAAGGGGTATGGCTACTATTAAAAAGCCAGATGAGTACAAGGAAATTCATTTAAAAGGCTATTATGGTTGTATAAAATTGAGTTAAAACATGAAGCCAAACATAACATTCCAGCAGCAATTATTAGATTGTTATTAACACATTGTTTGCGGGCATTTTTCTCTATACGAGTTCACTCGTTTCCCGCAAACAATGTGTTAAGCAGGCATTTCAAGTGCATGAGTTGAAAAGACAGGTCCATGAAACCTAGCAATGCATTTATAATTAAGATACTAAATGGATATGCAGTGCACTTGTTGAAATGAGAAGCCTTCGCTGACAATTATTTCAAAATATAGTTGTGTCGATCTGTACACTGTCAGGAACTGGAAGATGAGTGAACAGTAATTGAAAGGTGGTAGTTTTGGTTAGTACTTTGAATGCTTTGGAAGTTATTTCAATCCCAGTGTTAGAAGTAAATTGAGATTTCAAGTATCAGTAAAAATACTTCCATCCAGATCCCTTAGCCAGACCCGTTTAATGGTAGCTGCTGTGTCAAGGGACAATGCTGAACATACGTTACATAGAGGTGCCTTCATTTTGACTTTGCTGCTAAGCTTCATAAAGGATGCTTAGTTGCTCTAAAAAGATGGGCAGAGGTAGTAGACACTATTAACAGATTGAGAAGAGACAGATCAAAAGAAAGGACTGAGGGATTTTTTACTCTCTTTATTATTAGTTGTGTTTTATTTCTATAACTGGCAAGTGGCTGTCCTAGCATGTTTAATTTAAATGAAAAAGTATTCACTGGAACAACCAAATTACTGGTAATTGAAACAAAACATTTTATGTGATAGTGTTGATCCAGCAATTGCTGTACTGTAATTAACAAAGTGTGTCCAAATAGTCCATTTTGGAGAAATTTGGTAGTGGCTTCTGCTTGATAGAAACTCTCATGATGCCTGGTACTTTAGCTAGCTATTTTACTTAGCAAGAGATTTTTTCAGCATTTAAACTTGAAATTGGTTTTTTTTTTTCCTAAAACTCTGGAGTTGTCCATAGCATTTTAGAAAGTTCAAAAAGAATTGTAGGCTGGCCGAGTGGCACATTGGCTAAGAGCTGACTTGGGACACCAGCTCTGAGCAGCAGGGCCTGGGTTCAGATCCCACATGTGGACCAGTGACGCTGCACCCTCTACAGCTAAGATGGTGAACAACAGCTAGACCTGGAGCTGGGCTGCCGTGAGCCGCTGGCGACAGTGTAGGCTGCAGTGGGGCTGGCCGGCAGCAGGCATGAGCTGCCGTGAGTGGCCGTCCACTGGCCTGCAGGCGACTACCTCTCCTGGGAAGAGCACAGTGATAATAGCAACATGGGCCAGTGAAGCGACGTCCTCCACAAAACTAGACTAAAGAACAAAAGGACAGCAACTTGTCTGTTCCTGTTCCCCTCCCCTAATTCCCCAATAAAATCTTTAAAAAAAAAAGAGTTGTAGTGCTAGGTAAGTATTAACCTAAATTTCTATTATAGTAATTCTCACTATTTTATAAAATAATTTTTGAAAGGAAAGGAGTAGTGTATGTTATGACATATCCATTGTTTTCCCACAGGTTGGCCCTAACAATGTTCATGTGGCTCTTTCCCTGGTTGAATACAAACCAGAACTTCAGAAAGCAATGGAATTTGTCTTTGGAACAACGTTTATTTGTGACAATATGGATAATGCAAAAAAAGTGGCCTTTGATAAAAGAATAATGACTAGAACTGTAACTCTAGGAGGTGATGTATTTGATCCTCATGGGACATTGAGCGGAGGTAGGTTTTTTTTATCATTTTGCCCTCACGTTTCTGTGTGGTAAATAGTACGGGGCTTTTTTTTTTTTTTGCTTTTTTTTTTAACAGGAAATAATAGGGTTGGAATGACTTAATCAAGAGCTTTATTCCTAATCTGTGGATTAGGTTTTCTTTTGAATACCTTTTATGTGACAGCTGCTTAGTAACATTAGGAGAGTATACAATGTCCTAGTCCTCAAGGAGCTCCTAGTCTAGGAATCAGTCCCATAGCCTTTATTTCAAGTAAGTCTATTCCTGTTGGTTTATTTTCTCTTGCTTTTTGCCCTCTCAGGATATTGTAGTGACAGGAAAACAAAAGTTCATTCTGCTCGCAATGGTGTCTTAATGCCTTAAGAAAGGAATTCTTAGATAATGATCATATTCTTCCTGTTGTAATATTTGCCACACTGAGTTTCCAGATCTATGTCAAGTGATCATGTAATAATAAACACTGAATAGTACTTACTGTGTATCCAACAATGTTGTAAGACTGTGCTGTCCAAAACAGTAGCCATTAGCCACATGTGGCTTTTTACATTTAATTAAAATTAATATTAAATAAAATTTAAAATAATTTCCTCAGTTGCACTAGTCACATTTCAAGGACTCAGTCATCCCAATGGTTAATGGGTAACTGGACAAAGCAGATATAGAACATTTCTGTCATTCTCTAAAGCCCTATTCTGAGAGCTTTAAATAATTAACTCATTTAATCCTTACAGCAACTATGAGGTAGGCATATTACTATCATCTCCAAAATAACAGTTGTAGACAGTAAGGTACAGAGCCCTTAAATAATTTGCTGGTAAGTGGCAAACTCAGGATTTGACTTCAGGCAGTCTAATTTCAGCATGTGCTTTTAACCAAACCAAGAAACTGTATAACTGCTCTTAAGATATCACATGACTTAATTTCTTTCTAGGCCAAGAAAACAATAGTCAACAAAACTAATTCCATGATCAAGTAGCAAGTCCCCCAGTACACAATAAGATGACTAGCATCTGCAATTGGAAGAAGACCAAATATTTTTAATTAGCTAAAACAAAAGAAACTTTAGATATCATTGATTTGCATGTTCTTGAAGTTCCTACCTAAGGGATGGCAAATATGTAACCCCGTATCATATTAACAGAGTGCTCATAATAGCACTGCTAATCAACTTTCATATTCTCCCATCAAACCTATAGTTTTCTGGGATTGAGAAATAGAACACCTCAGCCTGTTACTGCCAGATAATTATAGTTAGTTGTAAGGTGAAACCAATTTACTCTTCTATATCAGAACTCAGATAAGGCTATGATGTGGTAACAAACAGCCCCCAAATCTCAGTGGCTTACAGCAAGTTTATTTCATAATTATGCTACGTTAACTATAGGTCTTGTTGTCTCTATTACGTGCTCTTCTCTTTCTGGGACCCAGGTTGAAGGAAAAATGGGCAGGGGGTGAGGGGTAATGGTGAGTTATGTGCAGCCTCTTAAGGCTTACTTCCGGCAGAGGCATGTTTTTCATTTCATTGGCCAGAACAAATGACATGGCTAAGCCTGATGTTAGTGGAGAGGAAATGGGCCTGGGAAAGATGGGCCCAGTAGGCAGGGGCAGTGATTATTTTGAATAAATAATCCACCACATCTACTTAGAAGTATTTCTTATCAAGTGGTATATCCTAAGATCCAAATGATGAAATGAATTCTGTACCCTCATAAGCGCACTGTAAACATACGCTATTGAATTATTTCAAGCATAATTCTGTTAGAAAACTTCATAGTTTACTAAATATGTGGTAATATATTGTTCAAGGCCTGTTTCAACTTGCTTCTATCAGGTGCTCGATCCCAGGCAGCTTCTATTTTAACCAAGTTTCAAGAACTCAAAGATGTTCAAGATGAGCTGAGAATCAAGGAGAATGAGCTACGGGCTCTAGAAGAAGAATTAGCAGGTCTTAAAAACACTGCCGAAAAGTAAGACTTATGTTGCCTTAAGCTGTGTTTTCTTTTTGGTCAAAGATTTGCATGAAAGAAAATTTACTTTTATTTAAAGAATTACAAATTCTGACTTTTTTCATAATATCCTTGGTTTTAGTTGAAGAAATTGTGAATTGATAACTTGTTTCAATTATTTATTCATAAAAATAGTGTCTTTGTTATAAAAAATTAGGGAAAGCTAATTAAACAAAAGGAAGGGAAAAAAATCAGCCAAATGGTCCCCTTTCCCTGTTGAGAGAGACTCTGCAGGGATTGATGGGGAAACCCATGGATACTCTGGAGGTTGATACCAGAAGATACTTGAATCCTTAACTTGAAATGAATTGATACAGTATCACATTGATCAGTCTACATTAATGTTAGCAGCATTATGGCTGCCGTACTCCGGTAGATACTGAAGTTCACAGGGTTGCCTATGTAGATGGTAAACAAGTTCATGTCAGAAAGTCACTACTAAAATTAAAAGTATTTTCCTACAGTTTCTTCTGGGGTGTAGATAGAGGTATGTATGTGTAGTTTTCACCATTACTTCAGTTTGTGTATGATACAGGTATATATATGCATGTGTTTATATTTTCAAAATTGGACTCATGCTGTTTAATCTCACTTAACATTATTCACTATTGAGTGAGTCCTCCTATGTGCCAAATACTCTTATAGGAGCTGGGAATACAGTAATGAATTAAACAGATAAATCTCTTCCTTCATCTTGTTTTCATATATATAGTTGGGGAAACAGACAATAAAGAAAGTAAATTGGTAAAACATGTTAGATAATGCTAAGTTTTAAGAAGCTACTAGTAAAACAGTCAAGTAGATCTGAACTATCCAGGGCAAAGAGATGTTGAAGTTTCCGATTGGGTGGCCAGGGAAAGCGTCACTGAGACAGTGCTGATGTGAGTGAACTCCACATGTGATTATCCTGGAGAAGAGCCCTTATTGCTTTAAAAGCTTCAGGACTTTAAAGCCACAATCTTACGAAGGACATTGTTTGAAAGTTTAATTGTATTTTTTCAAGTCCCTCTGAAGTTGGCAAATGGCAACTGAAATAAAATTAAAATCAAATATTTTACTCAGAATTCACAATAATGAGTAGAGATTTAAAAAAGCCTAAATAAACTTTAGAATGATACCAAGACTTTTTTGCGATACTGTATGTGGAAGAAATCGTCATAATCAGTCAATGTAGGCATTCCAGCATATAAATTGTATTGAAATGCCCATTTTCAAACATCATATTACATGTAGACCTGCATTTTACCTTCAATAGCATAAATGAGCCAGAAAGTGAATAAACTTTTTCTGGGAGAAAAATACAACAGAATTTCTCTGAGATATGTGGAGGTTTGTGGTCACATTTGGCTTAGAACTGTTAACTTTGTTCAGCAGTAGTGCATCGTTAATTTTACAGAATTTACTTATGGACTAATTGTAGCACTGAGGTCAAGGAAAGGGAATGGATTTTGAAAAATATGACAGTGGAAGTATCACCTAAAGCCATTCTTTCATAGACCATTTTAGGAACAGCTTTTTTTTTTTTTTTACACTCTACATTTTTTTAATAAATTGAAAAAAGTGACTAAGTTAAATTATGGTTTTAATTGCTGTCAAGCAATCTCAGGCAAGATACTCAAGGGAGTATTTATGTTTTATACTTTTTTCTTAAACCTCATGAATCTCTAGTGACAAGCTACCTTGTGAATTTATTAATAACTTGAAATTTCACAGGAGCTGAATTAGCTAAATACCTTCCAAAGAAATAACTTGAAGCAGCTAGAACTGGGGTAGAATTACAGGGTTTGCAAGAAAAGTATATTGCAAATTTTTGTTCAGTATCGTCTAATTAGGAAATGTAGGGAATATTATTTTAACATTTGAAAATGGAGATCAATAGATAACCAAAATTCTTGAAATTTTATGTAACTGTTACATTAATCTATTTTTGTGGTGGGAACTTTTGTGAGGTTTTTCCTCTTGGTAAGGATCAGTATGGGGGATTATTTTTAAGGAAACCAAAGATAATTTTTAGTGTTTTCTAAAATTAAGGGTCTTTCTATAAATAGTTATTGTCGGTCTTGGTCATTTAGAGTTGTTTACCTTCAGTGACCAAATCAGACTTAAATTTAATTGATGCCTCAGCAATGTGAGAGTCATCAAAACTATTTTTGTAATGAGTAACATCTTATAGTCTATGCGAGTTTTGTTTTTTGTTTCATTTTGTTTTTTTAAGTTAAAATACTAGTTTGAATGTATGTCTCAAACATCAGAAAAATTGTGTGCATTTGTTATAAACTTTAAGGTATCACCAAATAAAACAGCAGTTAGAGATGAAAAGTGAGGAGGCAGATTTATTACAAACCAAGCTCCAGCAAAGCTCATATCACAAGCAACAAGAAGAATTAGATGCTCTTAAAAAAACCATTGGTAAGATAAAACCATTCTGTGCCTAATCTGTTTCTGATAACCTTACTTTAGATATTTCGATCTTTATTATGTATTTATTTGAATTATCTTTAATACTTATTGTAATTATTAACACATTGCCAAAGTTCTGTCCGTTTATAGCAGTGTACATTTCCACCAGTGTCATGTGAAAGTTCTCATTTCTCCAAATCCATTCCTTTCCAGACTTAAAATTCTCCAATGTGATTGTTGTGAACAGGTTGTTCATTAGTATTTAAATTTGCATTTCCCTCATTGCTGGTGAAGTTTGAGTTCTTCTTTTGTATGTTCCTTGGAAGGTTTCTGCTTTTCAATTTTTTATTTATTTTTTTCCCCAGTGTTCTGTTGGGTTGCTCATAATTTATTTCTGTTCTCATGTATGATTTCTTGGAGGTTATATGCATTATTAATATTCTTGGCTTCTGTGCTTATCTTTTAACCTTATTTATGTTTAGTATTTTTGTTACATTAGACATAAAAAATTTTCTGTATAATTCAATGTATAGGTATCTCTTTCCCTAATTTTAAGAACCTTTTTTACACTTTTAATCAGAATTTAATTGTATATGGCAGTTTTAAATTTTCTCGCCCTTTGGGACAGTATCCACACACCTATTTCCCCAATAATGTTTTTATTCTTTTTTCTTCTTTTTTTACAATTAATAATTCTCCCATTTTGTTTGCCACTCTATCCCCTGCCTCTTAACAATTATCAATCTGTTCCCTGTGTCTGTGTGCTTGGATTTTGTCGTTGTTAAGATCCCACCTATGAGTGAGATCATGGTATTTGTCTTTATAATATGTTTCATTTGCATGATGCCCGCAAGGTCCATCTGTATTGTCACAAATATCAAGACTTCCTTTTTTTTTTTATGGCTGAAGACTATTTGTGTGTGTGTGTGTGTGTGTGTGTGTGTGTGTGTGTGTGTGTGTGTGTGTGTGTGTCAAATTTATCCATTCATCCATGGGTGATCATTTTAGTTGTGTCCATATCTTAGCTATTCTAAATAATGCAGCAGTGAACATGTTGGGGGGTTGCATATATATTTGAGTTCATGTTTTGTTTTCTTCAGATGATTACCCAGAAATGGAATTACTGGATCATATGGTAGTGAGATTTTTAATTTTTTCAGGAACATTCGTACTGTTTTCCATAGAGGCTGTACCAATGTACATTGCCAACAACAGTGCTCAAGGGCTCCCCTTTCTCCACGTCCTTACTAACACTTATTGCTTGACTTATTCATGATAGCCATTGTAACAGGCATCACATTATTTCTTATTGTGGTTCTAATTTGGATTTCCCCAGTGATTGGTGATGTTTACAGTCTTTTCATGTAACTGTTGGCCATCTATGCCTTCTGTGGAAAAATGTCTATATTCAGACCCTCTGTCCATTTTTTTAATTGATTTTTTTCCTTTTGAGTTGTATGAGTTCTTTGTATGTTGTAGATATTAACCCCTTATCAGATACATGTATGCATGTATGAGTTCTTTATCTGTTTTAGGTATTAACCCTTTATTCAGATAAATGTTTACAAATATTTTCTCTCATTCAGTAGGTTTTTTCATTTTGTTAATGGTGTGCTTTCCTTTGTTGTGCGGAAGTTTTTTAATTTGTAGTTCCATGTGTTGAGTTTTCCTTGTGTTGCATTTGCTTTTGGCATCAAATCCAAAAAATCATCATGAACACAGATGTCATGTAGCTTATTGCCTCTTTTTTCTAGGAGTTTTATGATAATCCATTTTGAGTTAATTTTTGTGTATGGGATAAGGTAAGGTAGTGGTCCAGTTTTATTCTTTTGTTTGTGTCATTTTCCTAGCACCATATTTTGAAGAGACAGTCTTTTCTCCATAGTGTATTCTTGGCACCTTTCACATAAAGTATTTTACATTTTTGTGTGCGTTAACATGTGGGTTCTCTGTCCTGTTCCATTGATCCATGTGTTTGTTTTTATGCCCGTACCATAGTGTTTTGATCATTATAGCTTTGTAGTATCGTTTGAAATCAGGAAGTGCGATACCTCCAGCTTTGTTCTTGTCAAGATTTCTTTGGCTATTCTGGGTCTTTTGTGGTTCTATACTAATTTTAGAATTATTTGTTCTAGACCTGTGAAAAATGTCTTTGGAATTTAGAGTATGGACATTTTCATATTAATTCATCCCATGAGCATGGAATATCTTTCCATTTATTTGTGTCCTCTTCAGTTTCCTTTATCAATGTCATAGTTTTCAGTGTACAAGTCTTTCTACTCCCTGGTTAAATTTATTCCTGGGTATTTTATTCTTTTTTGTGCAATTATAAATGGAATTATTTTCTTAATTTCTCTTTCTGATAGCTTGTTATTAGTATATAGAAACATAACAGATTTTAGTATATTGATTTTGTATCCTGCAACTTTAATGAATTCATTTATTAGTTCTAACAGGTTATTTTTGGTGGAAACTTTAGGGTTTTTTGTATATAATATCATGTCACCTGCAAATAGTGACAGTTTTATTTCTTTTCCAATTTGGATGCATGTTATTTCTTTCTTTTTCTTACCTAATTGCTCTGGCTAGGATTCCAATACTATGTTGATTAAAAGTGGCTAGAGTGGGCACCCTTGTCTTGTTCCTGATCTTAGAGGAAAAGCTTTCAGTTTTTTCACTGTTGAATGTGATGTTAGCTATGAGCTTGTCATATATGGGCTTTATTACATTGTGGTGTGTTCCCTGTATACCCACTTTATTGAGTTTTATCATAAATGGATGTTGAATTTTGTCTGATGCTTTTTCTGTACCTATGGAGATCCTGATTTTTATCCTACATTGTTAATGTGGTGTATCACATTGATTTGCAGATGTTGAACCATCCTTGCATATGTAGAATAAATGCCACTTGATCATGGTGTATGATCCTTTCAGTGTATTGTGGAATTCGATTTGCTAATAATTTATTGAGGATTTTTGCATCTGTGTTCATCAGGGATATTGGCAAGTAATTTTCTTGTGGCATCCTTGTCTGGTTTTGGTATCAGGGAATGCTGGCCTCATAAAATTAGTTTTGAAGAGATTGAGAAGGATTGGTATTCCTCTTTTGAATGTTTAGTAGAATTCACCAGTGAAGTCCTCTGGTCCTGGACTTTTGTTTTTTGAGAGGTTTTTGATTACCAATTCAATCTCTTTACTAGTAATTGGTCTGTTCAGGTTTTCTGTTTCTTCATGATTCCATCTTGATCGGTGGTATGTTTCTAGGAATTTGTCCATTTTTTATGGATTGTCCAATTTGTTGGTGTATAATTGCTTATAGTGGTCCCTATGATCTTTCATATTTCTTTGGTATCATTTGTAACGTCTCTTTCCTTTCTGATTTTAATTGAGACTTGGTTTTTTGTTTGTTTTGGTGAGTCACGCTACAGGTTTGTCAATTTTGTTTCTTTTCAAAGAACCAGCTCTTAGTTTCACTGACATTTTAAATCTGTTGTCTTTTTAGTCTAATTTATTTCCACTCTGATCTTTGTTTTTCCTTCCTTCTACGAACTTTAGGCTTTGTTTATTCTTCTTTTTCTACTTCTTTCAGGTGAAAACATAGGTGATTTATTTGAGCTGTTTCTTGTTTCTTAATGTAGGCATTATCACTATGAGTTCCTTTTTGCACATCCCATACATTTTGGTATGTTGTATTTCGATTTTCATTTGTTTCAAGGTATATTTTTTTCTTTTTCTTTTGATTTCTTGCAATGATATTCTGCACTGAAGAGTAGGTATAGGAAATCGTGCGGTCATGGCATCCAAGGTTATATGTTACCTAGGATCTAACACAGTGTATGTATATGTCAGTGACAGTAACATGCTCATTCTATCTTACCTTTTTATTTTTTTATTTTTAAATTTAGAGATAATATTTTTACTATGCTTCATCTTAAACATGTTCTCACAATATTTCTCTTTAATAAGAGTTTCCTTGAATAAAAATAAATGAGCAAAGAAAGTTTGTCTGTGAAATTAATTACAAGTTTTCTGCCAACTAAAATAAAGGGAAAAATACTATAGTTATTCTCTCATTTCTGGTTTTAGGAAGCATACAGGTATATTAAAAAGATGGTCTGTAATCTTTTTAATAAGTTGTTTCAAAACCATGTTTAAAGTAAGTAAAGTTTATATTATTCAATTTCATATGATTGGAAGTAATTTCCTTACAGATCTTCAGATAATTCAAGTATGGCTCTTAGGCAGGATCTGTGTTTCAGCATACCATTTCTAGAATAAGATTGAAGCAGTTAATTTTTTTAAAACTCTAGCCTCTAACTTTCCAGACCATTTCTTCTATTAAAATTGAATTTGTAAGCCATTATCTGTAACTGTTAATAAGTTGGGGGGCTTCATTTAGCTACATTTGCCTACTTTATGATGCAGAGGAAAGTGAGGAGACCTTAAAAAATACCAAGGAAATTCAAAACAAAGCAGAAGAAAAATATGAAGTATTGGAGAACAAAATGAAAAATGCAGAAGCTGAAAGAGAGAAAGAACTGAAGGATGCTCAGAAGAAACTTGATTGTGCCAAAACAAAAGCAGATGCTTCCAGCAAGAAAATGAAAGAAAAACAACAGGTAAATAACCTTTCTTGAAACAGAGCCAGCCCTTCAATATCAACATAGAGATGAGGTGGTAGAGCATCATTGGTTGCCCTTACTCATCAGTATTTATCATAGAAATCTAAAGGCAAGGTGTGCTTTTTCAGGAAATAAATTACACATAAGTCAAATTAAAATATAGTCTTCTCTGAAAACCCTGTAATTTAGTGTTACATAATTGTGTTAGTTAACATTGGCTTGCTAATTTTAGACAAAGAGCAAAGAAAGTTGCCTTTTGGTAAATGCTTCATTCTAGAATGCACCAGAACTTGTAATATGTGGTAGAACCATGTCATATCAGAGATTCAGTGTTGATATGTCTATTTGGTGATCATTTATGTGAACGTATACTGTGAAAGAATGATGTAGGGCAAAGCATGTTATATTTATGAAGTGCCATTCAGTTGTAGACTAGTGATAATCAGATTATATCGTTTGCCTGGTACCACAGCTGGAAATTGAACCTAGGTTTTTCTGAACCTAGCTACTCTCTGAATCACTGTTCCATACAACTTCACATAAATCTACTTTTCTTCATAGTTGTTTTTTTCTTGTGATTCTGTCATTTAGCTGCACAAAGTGTTTTCCAATGAACTAAAGCCTATAATAGAGAAGAAAATATAGAAACTTAATTTTTTGACATTGAATAATTATGTATGTTTAGAAAAGGCTTTACCTCTGCTTAGTTTACCTGTCACGTAGAATTCTGTACTGTTTTTCTCTATAGCAATAAAATAATAAAAGAAATCGTTTGTGCAAAGTTCTTTGAACCCATAAATATTGTACATTTATTTGTCATCATTTTTTTAAGTATAGGAAAATAAATAATTTCCTTTGCCCTCCTATCTTCTGGAGAAGTAGCTTATATGTGTTTTTGGTAGTTGAATAACTAAGCTGGGGGTCTTACCTGCATGAGCTTCTTACTGACCAGATACTGTGTTTCTTATAGGAAGTTGAAGCCATCACTCTGGAGCTGGAAGAGCTCAAGAGAGAACATGCATCCTGTGAGCAACAGCTTGAAGCAGTAAACGAAGCTATCAAATCCTATGAAGGTCAGATTGAAGTGATGGCAGCTGAGGTGGCTCAAACTAAGGTGAGAGTTACTTACTATATTGGAGAAATTGCAAATGTTACTCTACTTATGAAGCGTAGCCTTGAAGATATTTTACTTTAGAGGTCTCAGGCTCCTCACTTTTTCGTGATGAGAGGCAAAAACGATCCAGGAGTCCTGAAGTAATACTACTAATTATTTTAGTCCGATCTATTCAGATGATAAAACTACACAGTAATTTGAACAGGTAAATTTTAAATAAAAAATTCTTATTTATAATAGAGGTTGGAATGAAGTGGGACTGATCACTAATGGGCAAAGAGAACTCTATAGGACCAACAAGTACAGGGAACAGCCATGACCCATAGGGCTGAAGCTGTGCACCATGGAATGAACAAATCTGGAAAAGAGCCCCATTCTACCTGCAGGGCTGAGAGCCAGATTTAGTTGGAGAAGACGTTAATTGTGGCCCACTGATGATATTTGGAGTGCCAGGGGAAGCCATCTAGAGAGTGCCCACAGGCCACACTTGCTGGGAAATAGCTTTCTTGGATGCCAGGGTAACTGGCTATGGGGAGGTGCCTAGCCTGTGAACATGCTGCGAAGCCCCCGCTGGGATGTCAGTGGAAACCATGCAAGCTGCTAGCCCTTGCACATGACAAGCTTGCACTTGAGAAAAGCACACCAGAACCAGGAATTGAAAGCCCCTTCTTTCTATAGTGCCCCTACAGCATCCTTTACTGAGGCTTCATATCATTGTAGGCGGTAAGGGAGAAATGTTGCAATATCAGAAGCAGGCCAGTGAAGGGTGGATTTGGGGCCAGGGGGTTTCATATGTTCTGAAGATACTGTTACATTTTCTCTCATTAATATTTGATAACCGTCTTGTCCCTTTCCGTGATTTTGACTTTGAATTCTGTTTTGTTTCATGTTATTTCTACTCTTTTTAAAAATAAAGGTATAATTAACAATCTTAGTTTCAGGTATACAACATAATGATTCAATATTTGTATATATTGTGAAATGATCACAATAAATCTAGTTAACACCTGACACTATACATAGTTAATTTTTTTTCTTGTGGTGAGAACTTTTAAGATTACTTTCTTAGCAACTTTTAAATATGCAATACAGTATTATAGTAACCATGTATACAGTGTACATACTTTTGTGATATTTTGTAAGTTTTCTGTCATGTTGCTATTGACACTGTTTTTCATGTTAACAAAATGTATACAGCTTTAACGGGGGTATGCATTCCTTTACCTACATCGTAGTAAAGTGTTTTTGCCTTGCTTTTGTCATCTACTTCTACATTTTATCGTATTTAGAAGTGTTTTGGAAAGTAGGTCTTTACTCTTGATTCTATTCGTGGTTAAATTCAAGTTTTCTGTTCTTAACACATTTATCAAATCAACAGCAAAATGATTTTTAAAATTTTTTTTAACATAAGGGATACAAATGCTTTTCAGCTTTGTGTTACTGATTGAAGGCAAAATAGAAACTATAGAAAACTTAAAGTAAATTTTAGTTTTTAAAAACATTTTTTTTTCTTCTTATTTGTTGTCTTTTTCTTATTTTTATTAAATTTATTGGAGTGACATTGGTTAGTAAAATTGTATAGGTTTCAAGAGTACAATTCTACACTACATCATCTATATATTGGGTGTTCACCACCCAGAGTCTGTTCTCCTTTTATCATCATATAATTGACCCCCTTTACCCTCTTCTACCACCTCCCCCTCAATCCCCTTACCCTCTGGTAACCACTAAACTGTTGTCTGCGTCTATGAGCTCGGCCATAAGAAAAGATGAAATACTGCTTTTTGCAACAATATGGATGGATCTTGAAGTTATCATGCTAAGCAAAATAAGTCAGGCAGAAAAAAATAGAGAACCATAGGACTTCATTCATGTGGGATATAAAACTGAAAGCAGCAACAAATGAACAAGGCAAACAAATAGATTTGTTGTCTTTTAATCAGTTAGTTTTTATCTCATTCCTCCGTATTTTCTACTGTTTCGTGAACATCATGATATAGAATTTTTAAAAATGAGATACTGTGTTTCTAAAGAGAAGTGTGAAAATAAGCCACTCTTCCCTTGATCTAAATAAAGATAAAATCAAAACACGTACCTGTTTCTATAAGAGGGTATCCATTTCTCTTTATTGAAAACTGTGAAATGGATTACTTAGCTTTTAAAGGCTGTTCTTCCAGGTTCTACATTCTAAATTATTTCTCTGTACTGATAAGATTTGCAAAGAACACTCCTAGTAGCTAAGAAAAGAAATTGCCTACTAATTAGCTTCAATCAAATAAAACTAAAATATTGTTTCTGCTCAATCTTAAGTGACAGATTTCCTATGGTTTTTTTTTTCTTCCCTATCTTTCTAAAAAAGATTTTTTTTAAAAAAAGATTGAAACAGTCACACCTGCAATGCAATCTTTTTAACATCTAGGCATGAGAGAATCTTTTTCATAAATATGTTTTTGTCAATTACAGTGTTAGTTAATAAACCTTTGTCTGTTTTTCTTTGGTTAATGTCACCAGAGTATTTTTCTATTTCTTTTCTTGTTTTTCAGACATTTTAAAAAGCTAAAATATCTCTGGGTCTTTGAGATGAATGCAATGATTCATCTTCCTTCTGCAAAAGCCCTCTAATGACACAAATTAAACATTAGAAGGAAATTAAAGCACTTCAGGCACATTCAGTAACCTAACCAAAATGTCAAGTAGTCTTTATTATTCAAAATTACCTTGTTTTGTAAAGAGCGTGCCAAAAAAACCTCCGAAATTTTTACAGGTGTTTTTAATCACAGAGAACCATTCTTCTTCAGAATCTCTTAACAATCACATTGTCATACTTCTTTGTTTTCTGCCACCTGAATACAAGTTGAGCTAGTTTTTTTGTTTGTTTGTTTTTAGACATTTGTGTGAGTTCTTTTAAGATCTAGGATGAAGCAGAGGGTTTTGGGGGGTTTTCTGCATGGTGCGGGGCGGGGACTGGTGTTAGACTGAATTCCAGTTGTAATGACCACTTTGGAGGTTGAGTACAATTCAGAGCAAGCAGTTTCTCTCTGTGCCACAGATCTGTTTCCTCAGAAAAATCTCTCCTTTTCCATTTCTGTTTTGACCCCCGTGCTAGAACCAAACACTATGACTTTCCATTGCTACTGATAAAGCCTATATGGCTTCACATCTACAGAATGGAAAAGGAACAGATGCCAGCCTACCTGACATCTCCCTCTGTTCGCTGCCCCTCTTGATGTCATCTGGAGGTCTGTCAAATGATCTCCTTATTAACTAAGTACCCATAAATGCCACTTTTCTGAGAAACCTCATAGGTCAGATTCCAGTAGCTTCTCTTCCCTCCACTTAATCCCAACCACTTTGTATTCAGCAAAAACTTGGTTGCTTCCAGCAGGAACACTATCCCATCCTTTTATTCTAGTGGTAATTCAGGTTTTCTCATGTATAAATCCATTAGTCATTTTAAACTGGACATAAAATTAGAGGGTTAGGTGACCATCTGCCTGTAATCAGATTGCCATCCTGCCCAGAAGTCTGTTGGATGATCTTTTAGTAAACTAAAAATATCTCATTATTACCTTGTTACCTATTGTCTTCTAATTACACGTGTTTGTTTCAGGAGTCATTAAATAAAGCTCTAGAAGAGTTGACCAAGCAAAAAGAAGTGATAACAGCCCAAGACAATGTAATTAAAGCTAAATATGCAGAAGTGGCGAAATATAAGGAACAAAACAATGACTCTCAGCTTAAAATTAAGGAACTGGACCACAAAATCAGCAAACATAAACGGGAAACTGAAGATGCTGCTGCAAAGGCATGTTTGTGTTCATTTTTACCCGTAATCATATTTTTGCTTCTGGGTTGAAGTATTTCGATGAACTGCTAGATGAAGAACTCAGTATAAATGGCAAAACTACTGTGTAACATAATTTTGAGGCTTTACATCTATGTTAACTGCTTCTCAGCAATGCTTATTTTCACCAAATGGCACAAATGTTTTGTCTTCAAATTTAATTTCAGGTATTCATTCCCATCTACAAGATGTTTTTACCAAATATTTAGTGGTCTCCCATGGAAGTGACTGTTTTTTCTCCCCAATGTTCATAGAACTATTGCTAATGTAATAGTAGTAATAATGTATTTTCTTCACCTTATTTCAAATTGAATTTAAAGAAATATATACATAGAGGCATCTTCTAAACTTAATTGGCTCTGGGTGTTCTTATAAGGATTGGTATAGTCAATTTTTGCAGCCTCATTTGAAATCTGATGTTTTATCAAGAAGTTATCTTTTTTAGCTCATCACAGTTTTTTGATCACTCTTAAAGTTTCTTCTTTTTGTGTATCACAGTTCCTTAAGTACTTTAAAAAAAAATAACATCCTTTTGCAGAAATTCACTGCTTGGTTAAGAGGCTACATCCATGTGGTCTTAATAATTTACTTATTATGTTTTCTAACAGGTGTGTAACAATTTGGTGTCTTTTAAACTTTTTTTAGCATCATAAAAGTACAAGACATTTAACTTCAAAAAGATCAGAGCATAGAGACCAGCCTCTCTACCCTCTGAAAGAGCCATGTTAAGGTTCATTACTTGTTTTAAAGAACATTTTTTTATGGCCACATAATATCCTAATATTTTACTAGTATTGATTTCTCATTAGCCTATTCGTCTAGTATTAGTGGATTCACTGAAATATGACCAAGGCTAATATTACTAATATTGGTGATTGCTAGGGGATTTTATTCACAGTTAAGAGAGTAAAGAAAGGGATTTGCAAGTGGAAGTGGAACTGCTAAGAAGCCAAAGATTGGAATATATGCTTTATCAAATACTTGGTGCATACCAGCTAGCATCAGATACTGTGCCAGCAACTAAAGGTACAAAGATGAGGAACATGTACACAAAATACCTTCATAGAGCTTATGGATCAGCAGGGAGGATAGACCAGAAATGATCGTTTTACTTTGGAGCCAAGAGGTGAGACCATACGCAGGGAATTAATAAGGATAAACTAACAAGGACTAGGCTCTACCAGTCAGAACCACCTTCAACAATTCTAGTAGATGAAAGTCTTCCTTAAGCATTACAATTTAATTTCTTTTTATTTATAATTTAATTTTTTAAATGAACAAGTGTTTTACTGTGCCTTGTCAAAAGAAGGTGACAGGCGTGGAATCAATGTTCAGGAGTTTTTTACTTACCTAATAATTCTTTTCCAAATTATATCAGTGAGGATTCAATTTCCACAGTTTTACCAAATCTATGAGTTAAGTATTCCTATAAGAATTTTAATTTTCACAAGTTGTTTTTTGAAGCAATAGATTGAATTTGGTAAACTCTGAAGGAAGCTCATCTGACTTATGTTTTATTCTAATGGAGATACTCTACATAGATGTTGTAAAAATTCGTCTGAATTGTCTTTCTTCTAATGCTTTAGTAGTAGGAGTACCTGTATATAATCTCTTGTTCCTTGAGCCTATCCATCAGGTAAAAATATTAATACTTAGCTTTACTGTCAACAGTGAACCTCATTTTTTCAAATGAGTCATTGTGGGGTTTTTCTCCAAAGTGTTTGATTTAACAGTAAATGTTTAAGAAACTTGTTTTTAAATGTAAAATTATAAGCAATGATACATCCTTTTTTTATCGTACGTGGCTAGGTATCCAAAATGTTGAAAGATTATGACTGGATTAATGCAGAGAAACACCTCTTTGGGCTACCAAATAGCGCCTATGATTTCAAAACTAACAACCCAAAAGAAGCTGGTCAGAGACTTCAGAAGTTGCAAGAAATGAAGGAAAAACTAGGAAGAAATGTCAACATGAGAGCCATGAATGTACTGACAGAAGCTGAGGAGCGGGTGAGTCCTTTTCCTTGGAGCACCTCACCACCTTAGAACATACATCGATGGCTCTGTATGACCCTAAGGGAATATTAGGATCACCTTTTGCTCAATGGCCTTGATACTTGCTTGCTTTCTGTTTTCCTGTTCTCCCTTTTCTATTCTTTGTTTTATTTCATTCTTTTTGCATCATCAGTTGTTTATATGTTCTGTTATACCTTGAATGACTTTTCTGCTTGTTTTGCCCTTTGTTATAAACATGTTCTACTCTTATTCTTGATATAAATAAAAACAGCACTTGATCATGTTAACTCCTCACATTGCCATCATTTCTTTCACTTACCTTGAAAGGCTATGAAAATTAAGGTGCACCGCCACCTCACCAATCTACCCATAACTACTGTTTCCTTTTAACTCGAGTGTATACTGGAGCCATTGGATAAGTAATCACTGCAATTGTTACATACATAACCACTGCTTTACTGGTCTCTAAAACCAGCAGCATCTTCTCTGTTTTAGTGCCCTCGGTTACTGTATACTGTTATCCATCTCCCCTACCCTGACAAAACTTTATAAGTCTGCCACATCACTAGAGAAATCCAGAGGGCAAAGCAATCCCTATTCTTGACGGCCCCACAGGAATTAGCAGTCAGAGTAATATGCCCTATACTTTCTTGAATTCTGCAAAATTCTGTTTGAATTTGCATAATAGAGTTAGTGAGAGATTGTAAAAGTAATAATACTTAGGATGAGCTGGATTATTTTTAAGAAATTTTGCTGTAATGGGTTTTTTTTAAACTGTCATTGACATTAGTATCTACAAAGAATCTAGATCATGTTAAACACCAAACAGGCTACTAATGCACTTGTTGTGATTGCTCTGTAAAATGTTCCTGCTGGTTTTCATTTCTCCATTACAACCTGGCAATGGGTAGCATATTTGTGGGAGGAAACCATTGGTCTGAATTTGAGCTGCTTTAACATCATGAAACTTGTTCACTTTTACTTGTTTGCTTTGATTAGATAATAATAACTGAGTCTAATATTTTTTAAAAAGGAATTCACCAACTCCCATCTTCTTATCAGAAAGGAAAGCTCTTATTATTGATAAACAAATTGGCTATTGTTTTGTGTTTTGTTGTATTTTGTGTCTGTCCACATAAGAAACTACTACATGGAATTCTGCAAGGAATAAGATAAAAATGTGGAGAGGAGGTTTTTGGAGCTTGGCCATAAAGGATAGAGACAGCGACGAAACTAGCAGGACTGGCTGGAGTTTTTAAGGGATAGTTTGAGGCCTCCTTGAAATGTGAGGCTTTAGGGAAAATGTGTTAGGATTTTTTAGGAACTTGTGCTTACTCGTGGTATAATTGTCCCTTTGCAGCCTTTCTCATATTTTATTTCAGTGAATTTCTACATTAACCAGGGAATGCCACCCTGCAAATTAGATATTTGAGCTGAAACTTGAGATACCAGTTTTGTCAGAAATACAGAAAGAACTTTAGGAAGAGCAAACAGTGGGGCCATAAGGCTACAGTGAGCTTATTATGTTCAAGGAACTGAAAAAAAGACCAATGGCTAGAGCATGGGGCAGAGTGTTATGCCAAAAAGTCAGATAAATAAGGGCCAGATTATGTAGGATTTGTACACTGTGGTGAAGAATTGAGATTTTGTGTGACTGCTAAGATTGACCTTAAGAACGCATGCAGGGCTGCTTTGGAGTTTACATAGGACACACTTTCCTTTGTGCCTTGGCTACTAGGAAGATAATGGAATATTAGTGGAGTCACAATGTTTTAGGAGTCTGTTTTATAAATTCTCAATTATAGTAATTGAATTTTACACATACATGATATATTTACTTTCCTTAATTGGTTTACATTATAGCTATTAATACAGTATATGTTTTTGGTAAATGTCAGTGAACATATTTTTTTTTTTAATTTTAGCATTTTATTCCTGACTACATTCTAGAATATAAAAAATCTTACATTTTCTCAATTAAGTTTGCTTTTTATCTTACTAGTATAATGACTTGATGAAAAAGAAGAGAATTGTAGAAAATGACAAATCCAAAATACTTGCAACTATAGAAGACCTTGACCAGAAGAAAAACCAAGCCCTAAATATTGCTTGGCAAAAGGTATTTGAACCAACAAATATTATCATTTATTCAGTGTGAGGCAGAGATGAAGAATGTTGTTAATAGGTTTATACTCTTAAGATGAATGTGAAATGGCTAATTTGTGTTTGAAGGAGGCATATGCTGACATTTTAATTAAAACTATCCTTTTGGACGTTACTACCGATTTGCAATGGTAAGTTTGTGTCACTCCATCATACTTTCATAATCTACTCTGGTTTCTAAGTTATATTAAATTCCTAACTTTTGATTTCCTTGTTTTTCATTCTTACCTTGTTTGCCAGATCTGTGTTACCTTTAAAGGTGACTGTTTGTCCTCTTTCCTTCTCATGAGATCAGAGGCTCTTATGTTTGGAAGAAACCTTAGATACTGTCCAATATCTGCTTGAAACTGGAAACAGTATCACTTTCACATTGGGGAAGCTCTGATGCTTGGAAAACCTCTCTCAAGGACCCCTTCAGTTCTAACCTCCTGAATTTCTGTTGCCCAGACTCACAGATACCAAATATTAGTTCTAAGAATGTTTCTGTAGCAAGATTGGTGTGTTCTTTACCACTTACAAATTATTAATTGCAGTTCAGAATTATAAATAGTATACATTCTGTAGATTTTTAATAAAGTATTTTGTACGCATCAGATTAATAATTATGTTAACACATTAATCAGTGACTTAATTTACATAAATTATCTTAAAACAATTCCATAACTGATAGTTATTATCCCTATTTTATAGATGAAGAAACCAAAGGTTAGAAAGATGAAATGGCCTAAGATCATATAGCCAAAATTCCTAAATAGAACCAAAGTTAAAATTGCCTTTTGCTAACTGCTGTCACCCTTGTTGTTCTTTAAGAACTGGGCAATAAAACAAGTTTAGTATTCTTTTTTTACTGGACTCTTTTTTTTTTTTTAATCCCAGTTACCATTTTTGTTTTATGATAACCTGGGCAGATTTCAAGGTTCTTTACCATAATTTCTACTTTCCTGGCTGTATGTATTTGCCTCTTTAGGGTAGTTCCTTAGCCTTTTACATGGAAGTTTTCCTATATTTCCCATAACACAAGGCACATTCTCAAAAATTTTGAAAATATTTACCATGCTGTTTGGTGCTTTAACAGCCCTGTGCCTGTGGACACCTTGCCTCTTTTCCTCTTTTGAATTCTGTAGGAACTTTATTTTCAGTAACGGTAATAATTAATGCCTTTTAGTCACCTTGTTTTTTTCTGCTCTGCAACTTTCAGTGTTCCATCTTTTTAAAAATGCATGCTGGTTAAGAGCTTGCTCAAGAGTGTGAGCTCAGAGCAACAGTGGTTCTATTCCCGGCCCGAACTGAGCTGCCGCTGAGCTGCCAACAGGTGGCAGGATGGCTCAGCTAATAAATACATATAGATAGATAGATAGATAGATAGATAGATAGATAGATAGATAGATAGATAGATAGATATAGATCCACTGAGCTGCCAACAGGTGGCAGGATGGCTCAGCTAATTGGATGGATGGATGGATTGGATGAATGGATGGATGGGTGGGTGGGTGGAGGGATGGAGGGATGGATTAGATAGATGCATGCAAAAAGTTGACCCTATTATTCTGGTACATGTGGATTTAACACTGGATCTGAGAGGTTTTTTTTTCTTTTATTTTCCCCATGATTCCTAGATTTAGTGCTCGTACAAATATTTCCTTTAAACTGATTTTTTTTTCAATTTTCAAGGTTCTCTCAAAGCAAGTAAATTTATTAAGTGCTTATTATATGTCATGCACTGTTCTCATATTTTCTCATTTATTCCCCACAATAACCTAATGAGGTATAGGTATTATCAGCATTACTCATATATACTTCTTTCTGGCTTCAAGCATACTTGATTCACAAAGCCAGAGTAGTTTAGGCACTGGTTGCATTTTTGTTTCCTTCTTAGCCTCACTGGATTTTCAGAATTTGATTATGTTTCATCTTTATATCTGTCCATGAATATAATTTATTTTCTATCTAAGACACGCCTATATTCTTCTCTGCCCATTAACTCATAAGTTACTTTTTCTTTTTCCCCTTTAGAGGAATTTCTACATTAGGTTCATGGTCATGTTCAGGGTTTAGCAGCATTCTGCTGTCTTAGTTCTGAGCTGCCTGTCCAAAAATTTAAAGAAAGGATGTTTATAAATACTGGGCTATCTTCCATCTTGACCAAAAGAGATAGTCGTCCTCTTGATATTGAGATGAACCTTGCTCAGCTCTGGAAATCTATCCCATATAAAATTAGGACCTGCATCCTCTGTGTAGGCAGGATATTACTAAGCATGTGTGCTGTTGCTCTTTAAATGTGTATTCTTTAGTAAGTCTATATTCAAGAACATTGCTTATGTCTAGTAGATTTTCTTATTACTACAAATACTCATAAAAAGTACATTTGCACTTGAATCTTGTACTTGAATTTGGAGATTTCTCTAGAGAACATGGCTGTGTGTTGTGTGTGTATATACACTCTCAAATTTGTCTGCTGCACTCTAAGATTATTAGTCATGTCTTTGAGAACAGATGGCTGAATTCTCAAAGCACTGATTAAGTGTGTATGAACAAAAACTACCCAATTACAGGCTAGAATATTGGCCCTAAATCTCTGTAATCTCCTTCTGTGGCTTGGTGGGGATAGGCCAAATAGTTTCTTTAGCTTTTTTCTTTTTGGGTCCAATCCTGTTTCTGTCCCCTGACACCTTAACTTCTTTGGCTATTAGAAGGAGCATATAAAAAGAACAAGTCAACACCTTGAACAGATCTGGTTGTTTGATTCCATGCCTCTTTTTCTCCTAGAGTCACCCTGATCATCTTAGGTTTTTTAAGGTTGGCTGTAAACCACAGACACATCTTACCATATCAATAAATAGAAAACAAGTTTTATAAGGGAACGTTTTATAGCAAAAGTTTTTGTTTGGTTTTTGCTTCTTCAACTGGAAGTTGAGTCTTCTATATTATACAATTGTGTGTCTGTGAGGATTCCTGCAGTTACAATAACGACCTAAAAAACTATCAAAACTCCAGGGTAAAGTCAGAGGTATAGCCTCTAATCCCCTCTAGAGATTAGAGTAGGGCTCAGTAAACTATTTCTGTAAAGGTACAAATAGTTTTTCTTTTTGGTTTTGTGATTTAGTCTCTGTTGCAACTACTAGACTCTATTATTGTAGTTCTAGCAGCCATGGGCAATGCATAATGAATGGTATAGCCAGATTTGTCACATGGGCCATAATTTACCAACCTCTGAGTCAGAGTAACAAACAACAAAATGCACTACTGCCTTGCATATACATACACATGACAACATTTGATTCTTTTTGGAAATATGATATTTAATATCATTTTTTTGCCCAGGTGAACAAGGACTTTGGGTCTATTTTTTCTACTCTTTTGCCTGGTGCTAATGCTATGCTTGCACCACCAGAGGGGCAAACTGTACTGGATGGTCTGGAGTTCAAGGTTGCCTTAGGAAATACTTGGAAAGAAAACCTAACTGAACTTAGTGGTGGTCAGAGGTGAGTAATCCCTTAGGTATATTATAATTCCTCATTCCTTATATTATAATCTATGATCTCATTGCCTCCCAATTTTACTTCAGTTTTGCTTTGCTTAGCTCTCTGTGCATGTAGAATTTAAGGAGCCTTATATGTAACACTATATATTTTAGTTAAAACAGCTTGATTAAAACAGTAGGCAGCAAAGGAGATGTAAGGATAAGTATCTAGAAAACTAGACAAAATTTTTGAAAAACATTTGTTTTCAGACATTGGAAAATGAGTAGCCCAGGAGTATGCACCTGAGAGAAAGAAAACAAAAGTGCTGTGAGCCCATTGTTTACCCCAGTTTCTCCCTAGGAACAATTTCTGGACTGCAGATGCAGGGAGGGAAACCCACACAAAGCCCAGTAGTCCACTAAATTAAGGAAACAAATTAGAATTTTGGGAGGCCCCAGTGAGCTACACCTCAGTGTTAGGTCTTTACAATCCCTGAAGTGAAGCTACTGGAGACACACGTTAGCAATGTTAATTGTAGGCCGTGAAGAGATCAAGCTGATCTGCACGTAACTTAATTGTTTAAGAGCAAAGCCCAACACTCTTTAAAGAAAGACAAAATTGAGAATCTGAACATATAGTGTCCAGCATATAATAAAAAATTACTAGATAAAAATCAAGAAATGGCCCATAACCTAGAGAAAAATCAATCAATGGAAACAGACCTAGAAATGACAGGTGATAAAATTAGCAGATAAGGGAGGTAATGAGTTACATTAACTATTTCCAAGAATTACAAGAAATAAAGAATTTAATGAGAGAATGGAAACTGAAAAAGTATCAAGTGAAACTTCTAGAGATAAAAACATATACCTGAAAGGAAAAGGTCACTGCATGAGATTAACAGCAGATTAAACAATGTAAAAGAAAGATGAGTGAATTTGAAGACATAGCAATAGAACCTATTCAAGCTGAACTGAGAAACACAAGTGTAAAAAACAAGTAGAGCTTCAGTGACCTATGGGATGCTATCATGCAGTGTAACATACATGTAATTGGAGTTCCAAAAGGAGAAAAAGAGGCAAAAGAGAAAAAAACTTGAAGAAATATGGCCCCAGATTTTCCAAACTTGATGAGTTCTATAAACCTACAACTTGATTTCCATGAACCTCAGATAGGATAAACCATATACCACACACATAATAATCAGCAAGTCATGCCATATAAAATTGCTGTGATTTTATATGCCTGTGATTAGAAAAAAAATCTTAAAAGCAGCCAGAGGTAAAAAGGCATGTTACGGTGCCAAGGAACAAAGGTAAGAATGACTTTAGAGTTCTCCAAAAACTATGCAGGCCAGAAGTCTGGAACATCTGTAAAGTAAGTGCTAAAAGAAAAATGTGTCAACTCAAAATTCGGTGTCTAATAGAAGTAGTCTACAGATTAAAGACAATATAAATATATTTTTTTTAAAAAACAAAAGCTGGAAGAATTTGATCCCAGCAGGATTGTACAGGTTCAGGAAGTTGTCAGGTGAAAGGAAAGTGGTACCAGATAGAAAGTTAGACCCACATAAAGGAATAAGCCAAGAGTGCTGGAAATAGCATGCTCTGGGCTTTAGGGAAGTTGCTCCCAGCCTTACACAGTGATTCAGACCATCAGCATACTGAGAGCAACTTAGAAGGTCATGTGGCCTAACTCTGTACCTGCCGAGAGCCAAATAATTAAAACCCGTAAGAGAAAATTATGAATGTTTACATAATTGAATACAGTTATTAATTCCCTCCCCCCCCCTTGCAGGATGTACAGTCCATAGTCCTTGAATTGCTCTCATGTGCCCTGTAATGCCATCATGTAATTCTTCTCTTATGTACATAGAAAATACTAAGACCGGCTCATTTCTCTTATGAAGTCCTTTGTCATTTTTATGAGTAGAATAGCAGCCCATTCTATATTTTTCTTTATTGATAAAATTCTTAAATATGTTGAGTCTAAAAGACAATTCCCACTGCCTTTTAACCAAAATTGGATTTCACAATTTAGATCCCTGTATCTTTAACCATTTTTGCCAAAGTCCTAGGAAAAGTTTTGAGGAAAATAGAAAATATATGCTTATTTTCTTACTGAGACCTAAAAGTTATCACCATAATTAAGATGACAAAATTATTTGTAGATATACCACTATCCAGCAAAGTCATTTTAACTCTTCATGAGATTTGTTTCTGAATGAGGAAGTTTAAAGCTCAATCCCTTAAAAGTTTGGCACAGAAAGCAAATGAAAAATATTAATAATTTTGTGTTGCTTGAATGACCTCAGCTACCCTCTATAGAAGCATATTTCATTGTTTATTTTTTTTATTGTACTGTTTCATTCATTTCCTTCACCAGAAATTTTGGTTTCACCCTCCTAGCCCCCTTCCACTTGTATACACGTTTTGTTTTTCCACTTATATGTTTCTTAATAAATACCCTTTTGGAATGCAGTAAGCATTACATTAACAATTTAGTGCTGCATACCAGGAGATAATTGAAGTTACCAAATAAGTGTGTGACAAATGTTGTTTTAATTTTTATTCTAATGTTGAATAATTACAGTTTGCATTGAAATAAACAAGGCTTTTTTATAAACTTTAAGAAAAAAATGTTACAAGAATTATGATTCTTCATACCAGAATAGAATGAAAATAGCTAAAGGGAATGGTTAGCTAGACGAGAACAGAAAAAGGACTACAGAATCTTCACAGTAAATGTAACAACAAATTTTAAATAAGGTATGTTAGTCAGGATTCTCCAGAGAAAAGAACCAGTAGGATATACATGCATAAGATAGGATATATATGAAGAGATTTATTACAAGGAATTGGCTGATTTTATTCTGGAGGATGAGACGCCCCACAATTTGCTGTCTGCAAACTAGAGACCCAGGAAAGCCAGTAGTTGTATAATTCAGTCTGAATATGAAGACCTGAGAACCACGAGCACCGAGGGCAGAATATCCATGTCCCAACTCAAGCAATACGGCAAGAAGGGATGAATTCTCCCCTCTGCCCTTTTTTACTGTTCAGGCCTCAGTGGATTGAATGCTGTCTGCCCACATTGGGAAGGGCAAACTGCATTACTGACTCTTCCAATTCAAATGCTAATTTCATCCAGAAACACCCTCACAGACACACCCAGAAATAGTGTTCAGCCAACCAAATATCTGGGTACCCCATGACTCAGTCAAGTCACATAACGATTGCTTAAACTTTTAACACTGAAGTATTTAGGGTAATGGGCCATAATCAATTGAACATACTCAAATGGTGCCAATAAAAAAATGGATAGAGTGCGCACACGTGGATGCATACATACATAGTCCAAATTTGAAAGAGGGCACCTAAACCAGTTACACTGTTACCAACACAATAGCTGTTAATGTTAAGTATACAGCCCTCACTCACCTGCTGCCTAGTCCTCTAATAAGCAAATGGGAAGGAAAGAGAAAACTGTTAACACGAGTATGAGCTTTTCTTAAGGATGGTGCCAAATACAATATCCTGATTATTTGACTGGAAAGAAGAACATAAGCCTGTTCTTTTAAAAATAAGACTCATAGAAGAGAGGAAAAATGGAAAGCTAAAATTTAAAAAAAAAAACATTCTAATACAAGTGCTGAAGTTTGAAACTTCAGACTTTTTTTCCTACAACTACCTTTTAGCTAAATCTGTACTATTCATAATATAATAAAATAACAGGATAGCAGATTTACTTCAGTGTTTTGGTAAAAAGTGGTCAAGTTTTGACAGTTTTTTTCCCCACCTTCTTTTCTTAGGTCTTTAGTGGCTTTGTCATTAATACTGTCCATGCTCCTTTTCAAACCTGCTCCGATTTACATCCTGGATGAGGTCGATGCAGCCTTGGATCTTTCTCATACCCAAAATATTGGCCAGATGCTGCGTACTCATTTCACACATTCTCAGGTAAGAGTCAGTGTCTTTATAAAACAGTTTTTAAAAGGCCTCAGTAACAGTATTTGTTTTTCTAAAACTATTCTTTAGCAGTCATCATTATTAATAAGATATTTAAAATGGAGGAGTACTAAGGCATTGTGTATTTCTTTAAATATATACTTATTTTCATATGGATTTAGAATAGAAAGAGGGTTTAGTCTCCTATTAAAGAGAAAACCAAACATCACAATTGTTGATTGTAGCATGAGGGAGAATCTAATTTTTTTTCATAATTTGGAATTCACTTAGGGTTAAATATAATTACTATTCTAGCTAGCCTCCAGAAGATGCACAGTTTAACCAGGAATGTTTCCGGGATAGGCCTATGTGTCAGAGCTTCGTGAGGCACCTGGCGGAATACTCCTCTCATTTTCCCTGGCTAGGAAGTAGAGAAAGCATAGTTTGTTTGAACTGGGCTGCCAAATATGGTTGTATAGAAATGCATTATGCAACTCTGAGGCGCTTCACTTATCACAGGTATCATAGGCTGTGTTTATTGTGGTGGTTTTTGAGCAGACAGCAGTGAAGGGGTACCTGTTGTTAATTATACAAATACAAATGTTCCATTTCAGCTAGTGGTAGTGCTGTAGGAACTAGAAGCCTTTTTGGTATTAAAATATCAGAGGGAAATATCTCACCAGGACATTTAGAGCTAGCAACAAAGCAGTGATGCCAGCTGCAGAAGAAAGCAGCAAGCAGTCAACCAGCAGGAAGTAGTAAGCTTGGGTAATGAAGCACTCGAGAGACTTCTGAAACCAAATATGGAAAGCTAGAATTCACTTAGGTGTCTAATGTTATAACTGTTTATCTGCATTTGAGGATGTGTATTTGCTTGGAGTTGAGCATTTAAAGAAATTACAAAATCAAAATATCACCAAATAGTTCTTTAACCCCAGTATAAAAAAAAAAGGAGTGAACCTCTTCAAGGATATTACAAAAGGTTTTTTTAATGCTTTTTTTCTTTTTCCCTTAAGTTCATTGTGGTGTCTCTTAAAGAAGGTATGTTCAACAATGCAAACGTCCTTTTCAAAACTAAGTTTGTGGACGGTGTTTCTACAGTAGCCAGATTTACTCAATGTCAAAACGGAAAACCTCCAAAGGAAACCAAATCCAAGGCAAAAGGACCCAAATGATCACATGTGGAAGTTGTAAAAGTACAAATGTCCTCTTCAGCTTGACACGTTTTTTAAACAAACTTTTTAAGAACTTGGGATTTCTCTAATTTGTTTATATAAAAGTTTAATGTTATTTTGTTACTTAATCTATATTTTCCCTTCCTTTATATAATCACTTATAAATGAGCATCGATTCCTTTTTTCTTACAGTGTAACTATTGCCTAATTACTGTGATTGTGATTTTATGTGTGTCATCAGTTATTTTTCTTACACAAGTCTTTTATATGTTAGGGAGCCCGAGATACCTGGTTGGTGGTAAATTCTGTTTGTAAAAGCAAAAATACAAAGAAACATGAAGTTAACTTACAGGATAAATATAGCTGATAATCAGCTTTTGGTTTAATTGCTAAGGTAATATTAGTGTTTTTCTATTGCTGATAAAGTTATTCAAGTAAGAAGGAATTATAAAGCAAGGAGTTGGACCAACAAAGGGAACACAAGAAAAGCTATTAGGCAGGCACTGAGCTATTTGTGGCTAGTTCCTTGAGGACACAATGCTAGATCCCTGATTTAGACTCGGATGACAGAAATCTTTCAGAATCTGTTTACCATTTTATGATGTTTGAATATCATGTTTCTATATGCTTAGTAATTGGTCTATGCAGTGTTTTTTTAAAATCTTTATGAATATTTCAGTAGAAGCTTGGGGAAAGGTATGTTGCATGCTGTTGCTCCCTGCTGCAAGTTTATCTGAAGTCACCTAATATTTTCAGATTGTCAGCTTTTCACAGTCCAATCAGTAACAGTCTGTTGGTGAACGAGAATGTAGGTGCCAGCAGACCGAACCAAATTTATCATTTTCCTTCAGTCTGATATATGTTTAAGTAAATTAGATCCATCTGTTCTACCAAAAGGACTCAGAATTTGATGATTATTATGTTTTTTAATGTCTTTTTAGTTCAAAAAAATAAAGTTCTTTTAAGAACTCAAAAGATTATGCTAACGAACACCATAAGAATAGGTATTAGTTTTTCTAGGTATATCCCCAGAATACGGTCTCCAGTCTCTGAATCTTGAGAGCTCTGACACGGTCTAATCTGATCACCACTGTGCTTTTTTGACCCCATATCCCTTCTCTCTCTCATACTTCCATTTTAGTTCCTTTGTGTTACGTTTTCCCTGATCTGTGCTCACACTTATTGGCCCTGGGTTTAACATTTCTCACTCTGCATTCTCATACACGTGAGGGTATCAAATAACACCCAAGTAACCAATATTATGGGTCACATGGGAAAGGATTGACTGGAATTAGTTCTGTCTACTGTGGAGGTGAGGGAGACAAAAGCTGTAAGTGCTGAGTTACAGGAAGCCTCAGAGCACATATAACAGACATAAGTTGGGTTTTTTTCTTTCAAATGTATTGCAAACTGTTTGCCAAAACAGTGATAGCAATTTACACTGTCACCAATATGGTATACCTGTTTGACCACAATCTAGTCAGCACTGGCTGTTAATTTTAATACTTCTGATTTACTAGGTTTAAGATGGTACTTCTTAACTAGCGTTTTATAAATAACTTGTGGGATTGAATATTTTGCCATTATGTACTAAACTTATTTCCTCTGCTACAAATGTTCTACTTGTTTGCTTTCCAAATTTTTGTCTTATCCTTGTATATAATTTTGCTCTTTGAAAAATATTAAATTTTTATGAATAATGTTGTCATTCTTTGATTAGAGGGAAGACATTAAGAGGAATGGGGACATTTATTTCACACACCTGCAGTCATATGAGTAACATCTATTTAGCTCTTTCTATATTTCAGACACTAGTCTCACTTGCATGTATTTTCACAGTTAATCCATTAAATTCAGTGAGGTAAGTACTGTTATCAGCATTATTAATTGAGGAAACTGAATTGAGCAGAGAAGTTAAGAAAGTTGCCCACAGCAATAATATAGTTAGTGAGTGGCAGAGCCAAGATACAAATCTTGGCAGTTGGTCTCCAGAACCTATGGTAACACTACCTCTCTGACAGCTTAAACATTTGTAGTTATTGTACATAATACATTTAAGAGATACCTGGATGAGCAAGATGCACAACATATGAAAATATCTTTAAAAAGAACCTCAAACATTTGAAGAGGATTTCTTGTGGTTTTGTTTGGGCAGTTCAGGTGCCCCAACAGCAAATGCAAAGCATAGATGTGACAATCCTCTTCTACGGTGGTGCAATAACCTAAAGGCCCATATCCCACACTCATGTCATCTTCAGCCCAGGCAGTTTTGTTTCTTTTTGATCTGTGTGCCTTTTGTTTCCTTTTCTCACTTCACTGACTTGAACTTCTAGCACTGTGTTGTATAAGAGTGATAAGAACTGGCCTCTTTGCCTTTTTCCCAAAATTAAGAGGAAAGCATTCAGTCTTACACCGCTGAGTATAATGTTAGCTGTAGGCTTTTTGACAGATGTTCATTATCAAGTTAAAGAAGTTTCCTTCTATTCCTAGTTTGATCATGGTTTTGTCATGGGTGGGTGTTGAATTTTGTCAAATGCTTTTTCTGCATTGATTGATTGCTATGATCATGTAACTTCTATTACTAGTCTGTTAGTATTCTGAATTACATTGCCTGATTTTTGAATGTTAAACCAATCTTGTATCCCTGGAATAAACGCCATTTGGCATGATGTATAATTCTTTTTATGTGTTGTTGGATTCAATTTGCTAATAGTTTGCTCATGATTTCTGTGTATATTCATGAGGGTCATTGATCCCTTTAAGTCCCTTTTTTTTCCCCCCCTACTGCCTTTATTTGGTTTTAGGCAGTACTAGCTTTATAAAATGAATTGGGAAATGTTTTCAATTTTTCAGAGTGCATTTCTAAATTTCCAAATACTTGGGGATTTTCCAGATAGCTTTCTCTTACTGATTTCTAGTTTAATTTTGATATGGTCAGGGATAATACTTTGTATCATTTCAATTTTTAACAAATTGTTACAAAACAATAGATTTAAATGCTTCTATTAGAAAAGAAAGGTACAAATTTAATTGCCTAAGGTTCTACCTTAATCTATATTTTAGATAAATAAGAACAAAGTAAACCCAAATTAAATAAGTGGAAATAATAAAAGGTAGAAATCAACAATATATAAGACAAAAACAATGGAGAATATGGATGAAACCAACATCTAGTTCTCAAAAAGAGTAACAACATTGAAGTATCTCTAATAGGCCAATCAAGTGAACCAGAGAAGTTATAAAGCACTCATATCAGGAATGAAAGAAGAGTTGCCACTGGATCTTACCTAAATTAAAAGGATACAAAATTATGACCATTTTTATGCTAATTCAACAACTTGGCCAAAATGGAAAAATTATTAGAAAACTGATATAAAACCTGAACAGCCTCACATCTATTAAGGCAGTTGCAGTTATTAAATATCTCCCTACAAAGAAAACTCCATTTCCTATGGTTTCACTTGTAAATTTTGCTCTTCAAGGACACCAGTCTTTCAGAAAATGGAGGGGAAGGGAACAATTCTTGTTTTTTTAAGGCCAGTGTTCTAATTCTAAAACGACAAAAACATTACAAAACAAGAAAATTACAGGACAAGTTCTCAAAAACATGAACAAAAATCCTGAAAATATTAGCAAATTGAATCTAACACCTATAAAAGATAAGCTATTTTCAAGTTGTTTTTCAACAGATGGTACTTACAGATATTTTCAGAGAAAAAAAAGACCCTATGCAATGCACAAAAAACAATTAAATATGAGTCATAGACCTAAAAATAAGTCATAACACTTATAGAAGAAAACAGAAAATGTGACCTTTGACCAGGCAAAGATTTCCTAGGACACAACACAAACTTAAAAAAAAAAAAATGGATGAATGGAACATTAAAATTAAATTTTAAAAATCTCCAAAAGACACTGCTAAGAAAATGAAAAGACATCACAGAATAGAAGAAATTATTTACAATGTACAACACTGACAGTACATGAAAGATGTATAAAGAACTTGGAACACACATGTTGGCATTTGCATGAGGGGTGCAAAAGCGGTGGTGGGTAAAACTGCGGCCATCTTAGCATAAATCAAGGCAGTACAACACACTACTTACTAGTAGTCCTGATGGCATTTTTCACTGAATTTGAATTTTTTAATGGCAGTTTCACTTAGGAGTGTCTGATGAAGCTGTAAAAACTATCTTTTATATCAACCTGCTCAGTACATGTCTAATAATCAGTGATAAAATGGGAATTACGCATAAAGCACTTGTGCTGCATACCAAAACATGATGGGTATTTTGCAGAAATGCAGTTATCTCAGTTGGTGTCTGAGGTAACTGCTTTTTTAATGGAACACCATGTTTACTTGAACAGAAGAGTAAGATATGGTTACTAAGTCTACAGTATTTGGTAGACATTTCTCAAGAATGAACAACATGGGCCTGTCTTATGAACTTGACATATTTGTTGCAAATAACTAAATTGTAGCTTTCAAATGAAAATTAGAATTTTGGCAAACTTGCGCTCATTGTGAGCTTGATGTCTCAGCACTTGAAGCCTTTTCTGATAACACTGGTGGTAATATTAACAAATGGGATTTTTTTTTGATACTGTATTATGAAATGTATTAAGATCTGCATAACTCAGTGAATGGTATTTTCCTGTGACCAATGTTTAATGTTACAAAATCCTGCTTGGGTAAAAGAGCCTTTCTAAGTACGGGAGAGGCCAATGGATTTAAATGTTCCAGAGCATGAGAACTTGATTGATATGGTTTCAGATTGCACATTGCAACTAACTTAAGAAAGTATCACTTGTCTCATTTTGGTTTTAGTATCAAGAAAGAATACATTATCTAATACTCCCCTTTTCAGTTACACATTTCTTCTTAACTCGAGGTGAGAAACTAGAATATTTTATCCAAAGCTATATAGCTAGGAAGTGGCGGGGGTTATGGGGCAGGATTTAAGCTCAGACTTTCTGGCTGAAGAGCCCGCACTCTTAGCCATTATAATATAACAAACTGTGTTAGGTACACTCCCGGGTGTGTGCCTATTGCTGAGTTAACATTCACATTCTGCCTTGCATAGACCCTAGTCATGCATGGGTGGGCGCAAGGAGAGATACCATTTAAATCCATTGTAGACAAAATGGTGGTTTAGTTCTAGGGCTCATGCTAATGGATCATTTTAGACGAATTTAGTGAGATCGTATAGCTGCTAATCCCTAAACGTATGACAGAATGGTAGGCATAAGCTCCCTCTTCTTGCCTCCAGTGAAGGACAAGAACTTGCAATAGATTGAGGTTTACATATTATCCTTTACAAGACAACTTTTTATGTGGTTTGTAAGATGAGCTTTGTTACTTGATGGCCGTTATGCATCTTCTAAAGTTCTCTTCAAACGCATTCCTGCTCCATTCTGTATATTGGTCCTAGTGCACATCACTACCTGTTCGAACAGTTTGGCGTTCTAAGTCCTCTAATTGCCCACTTTGTGGAGTCCCAGCCTATCTTAAAGCTAACCGCCCTTATAAAGGAACCCTGCATTCCACCCAGTTGCAACAGCGGCTACTCCTCAACACCACTTTGTCTAATTGTTGCTCATGCTCATATTAGTGTGTGACAGTCACTCTATTCCATGCCTGTCAACAGTGTACCCTTCCTTCAAGGTTCTCAAAAGTCACCACCACATCTATGGGTCCTTCTCTGCTCGCATCCACCTTTCATAAGGCATGGAATATTCCATAACAGTAACTGAACACATGTCTTAGTTCTAGTAGACTATAAACCGCGGAGTGCATCTCTTTAGAGCCTGTAGCCTGCTAATGCCTTGATCTCTAGGATTATTTACTTAATGAGTAGAATCATAAAAGTTAAAGATGGACTAGACCATGGTATATACATAGCTCATGAACCACGGTATATTAGCAAACTGACTAGAATTCTATTGACCCATATTCACGCTGATAGTTACTACTAGGATTTTGTCATATATCCATGCTTGTACTGAAGTCTCTTAGTAAAACTTTAAGAACAAACATCTCATGCTGGAGACTCCCTCCTACGAATTAAAAACATTGATGTCAGCCCTTTTCTGTGTTGTATCTAATACTTCCTATTCTTTTTTTATAGATGTCAAAATTATATAAATTGTCTAAACTTGTGTGTTCCAAAGCTGAAAGATTTTTATTTCACATCTATTGACTTTAATCAGACAAAAACTTAAAAATCCCTTAGTAATTTAGGTATGAAAGTTTGCTTTATTGATAATTACTTAGGATTAAAAATTCAAGGCAGATGTTAATTTGAAGAAAAAAATCTGAAACAGATTTTTATCCTGAGATTGCTTCCAGCACAGCGTAAGGAAGCAGGTGTTAAACACATCCTGATTACCTCTGCTTTGGGGGACCAGAAAGAGCATGAGTAATTTACTTTTATAAATAATTCCAATACTTGAAGCCATCTCTTTACTCCCTCTCTCACATAATTTCCGTCAGGACTAAAATGGATCAAAAGTGCATTGTGCTGCTAATTCATGGCCCATGCTGTTCCCTGGTGGGTCGCTGCTGAAAAATGAGGACCGCAAAATTCAGATTCAAGAGAAAAAGGAAGAAAACCGGCATACATGGATTGTGCACAGTTTCATCTAGTCCCTGATTCTAACGATGAAGCTGCTATTTATCATTCTCACAGAGGAGAAAACATAGGTTCAGAGAAGTGAATTTTTACTTCCTCAGTTAAAGTGCAACGAATCAATTTGGATATATATAATTCCAAGGTCCATGATCTGTCAACTAGTATCTAAAACTTTAAAAACTACAGGAAAAATGTTTCCTGCAGAAGATTTACTCTACTATGTATGAATATAAACTTTGAAATGAACTTTTGTCATCCATTTTCATAAAACTATAAAAAGACACAAAATACGCACAAACAACCACAAAACAAAGTTTAGCTTACTGTTTACGCCGGCAAAGGGTGAAAGGAATTTACTTAGCGTGAGAGTGCTATCTGCCGCAGAGCAGGATCTTTTCATTTTAACATGTTAACATGTGGAGGATAATGGCTCATTTCCTCCCCCCCTTAGTCCTCTGCACACGACTCTAAAACCTCGTACAGCATGGTATAATGTCATTGGTCTTCATTCTACGAGGAACACACCATGTACTAACCACACCTTTTATTTCATGGCCCACTGCATTAAAACACCTCTATGTTAAAAAGAGTGTTCTAAAGTGTAAATGCTAGCATTGAAATCGCCGCGCAGGGCTTAATAAGATGCAAGCTGTTGAGCCCCAAATATGTAGGAACTTATTTTTAAGCTTATCAAAACAAAAGCACAAAATTTAAAATAGGAGAGATGACAGACCCCTGAGAATGTGCTAAGATTCCCTCCCCAGAGATCCTCAAACTGCAGTTTGAAAAACCTGCACTAATTACATCAAATGAGTTCTTGCACAGCAAAGGAAGCCATCAGCAAAACAAAAAGACAACCTACTGAATGGGAGAAGATACCAATTAATATCCAAAATGTATAACAAACTCATACAATTTAACAAAAAAAACCAATCTGATTTAAAAAATGGGCAGAGGACCTGAACAGGCATTTCTCCACAGAGGACATATAGCCAATAGACGTGAAAAGACATTAAAAGTCACTAAT